ACAGCGCGGGTGCTTCCACTCATTGGCGCGTCCCGTGCTGATACATGTACGGCGTTTTGTTCTTTCTTTTTGAGATCGGTTAACTCTACTCACCAACCGCACGAGTGCTTCCACTCATTGGCGCGTCCCGTGCTGAGGCTGACATCACATATGCAGCACGGGTGCTTCCACTCATTGGCGCGTCCCGTACTGATGCATGATTTGTGGTATTTTTCTACCGCTGCGTTGAATTCGGTTAACTCTACTCGCCAACAGCGCGGGTGCTTCCACTCATCAAATACAACAACAGCAGCAGCAACAACACCCGAGAGCACAGACACGGCTGTAGAACATGGGACCATCTCATCTCATCTCATCTCATCTCACTTGACGGTCTTGTCGTTCTTGTCCCCTATCGCTTTCTCGAGATCAGTCCGCCGTTTCACGCGGGTCTTCTCTGCGCCCCTCAGTCTCTCTTGTTGCCGTTCCCACTTCTTGTATTCATCCTTCAAAAATGCGACACAAGGCAAACATACATATTAAGAAAACTAAAAAAAAAAAATGCTATGGATTCCTTTCTAACTTTGTCCCAGACTCTTTGTGGAGATGACTTACTTGTTGTGTCATGAAAAAAAATGAATATTTGGAAAATAGAACCACACAGAGGAATTGGGGTTGAGGAGGGGGGGGAACAAACGGCACATACAGGCATCGTGCTTCGTACGTTGACCGTGTGAGGCAGTCATGCGCCGTCTGCTTCCCTATCCTTGCCTCGCGCTAAAACGAAACTTCGACCGAGGTTATATCTCGAACGGGTAGTCTTTCTGTGAGGTTATGTTTACTAAGAACGAAACGAGCTGTACCGCACTAAACAAGGCCAAAGAACCAAGGAAGGAAAGTCGGCGGACCACACAAAGCGGAGAGAAGAAGGTCTTGGTTCTTGGAGGTGCTGTCTTTCAATTGCGAAAAGCGTCGCCGAGGTTGCCGGCTCCATCACGTACGCGCCTCTTCCATCACACCTCTACGCATGATGGGCAGAAATCAAGGACAAGTCATTTAACCGTCACAACAACGAGTCGATTTACCCCATGAAAACCCTCACCTAGTAGTGCGCAGTCCAAACCACACCAACATCATCATCCTTGCGGTAATCACCCATCACCCTTCGCCGCGTTTGTACTGCAGTAGAACCTCACACCATAAAAAAATCGCCTCGTCCATGGCTGACATTATCCAACACCACTATACATCACATCATCATCGAAGGCCTCAGTCGTCGACCATACCACTGTTGTACCTGCAAAGGCTGATCGGCCTGCTGTGCCATCTTCAGCTCCACAACAGCGTCTTTCTCGAGCTGCTTGGCTTCGATCCCCTGATTCCTCAGGGTCTCCACCCCCGCCCACACCTTCCGCTGCCTGTGCAACTCAAGCTGGGCAAGACGAAATAGAAAAAGAGGGTCAGCAAACAACAGCGGGAATAACATCAGCAGCGACAACCGCACAACAAAAACATAAGACAAGGCAAAACGGATGCCACGAAGAAATAGTGAAGAAAAATAACAGCAGCAGCAGCAGCAGCAGCAACAATAACACCATGTATGTATAAGTTTCAGACTCGACGAGCAAGATCGGCGAAACTTGTCTTGCTTCTCTGGGCCGCGCTTCGAAGGACACGTAAAAAAAAAGTGCCACGATCAACTTCGTGAAACGATCGACCTGCTTCTCCTAACACTGCTATAGAAAAGAGAGAGAGCAAAAAACGGCAAGACTCACTCATGATTGATCCACCATAACCCTGCTGTGTATTGCACCGTTGCTCCAACGAACAGAAACGATCAGCACATCAATAAACAAGCACACCTGTACAAGAACACGAACAACACGACCAAGGTATCTCACCCTATTCTGCTTCTCTTGGCGCTCTTGGTAGCGTTGCACGTCCTTCTCGAGGGTGGACAACTCCGATTCCATGCCTTCCAGCTTGGTCCTCATCGTCTCCTCCTCGTTCTGACTCTTGCCTTTCTGAGAACACGCACACGCATCATTTTTTGGTTTAAAAAAAAAACAAGCCCAGCAGATGGAATACACAAAAAACGACGCGAGTTTTTGACAGTGAATGGGTAGCCTGATGACGTCCATGTCGTGAGGCTTACCTTAGTCGCAACACGGATTTCACACAACATGAGAGCATACGGGTGATGACACCTCCGTCGTCCCGAGTCTTCTCTGTACGCACTGCCAGCAACAGCTGCTAACAACAAAAAACGCAGAACAGGCATCCGTCTACATACGAACATCAATAAAACCTTCCCAAGCTTTATTCAGGGGTGCGTTGAGGCGGGTCCGTTCTGACCCCTGTAACAGAAACAGAAGCTGCAGCAACACGTGTGCGCATGCACCAAACATCAAGGCACGTGTAGATGAACAGGTCGCCTTCGTACTTCTCGTGCAGATCAAAAGTAGAGAACCAAAACTCTTCATCACACACGGACACATGGCGGGCAAAGGAAAAGGATGTCTGACTCACCGAGTCTTGCAGGTCGATGAGCTTCATGTGTGGGTCGTACAGCTCGGTGCCGGACAAGGCCTTCTCCGTTTCCAGCAGCAGCTTGTCTGGCGTAAAGCCCGAGAAGTCGCCGACCTTGTCCTGTAAAAAGATGGCAATACAACCAAGGAAAAAAATGTTGTGGAATGATTTGAATTGCGAGTATTTGGTACGACATCGACTCTGTGAGTTAACAACAACTACAGTATTCGTCTAGTTGAAAAGTGAGTTCGCAATCGGCTTCAATTGAGCTATGCAAATCTATAATAGTAAATAACCACGGACTACTAATATGATGACATGCCGAACGCATCTCGCTGACTACGTCTTCCATTCTGCTTGTTCTCTCTCTCTCTTTCTCTCTCTCTCTCTCTCCGCCTGCAGAAAGCTAGAGACGTCACAAGTGTTACGAACTGTCTGGTGCAATACCAAAAAACGTTATTGTGTCGTTTTTCGATGCCATCACTTCACGTCGTGGTGTCATGCACGCATCACTTGCCTGCGGCAGCATGGTGCAGAGGTTGTCGACCTGGATGCCAAGGGCCCGAATCTTGTTCTCCACTTCCTTGGTCGAATGAGACCTGCGTACGACATCATCATGCAAGCACGTCACGCATCAGCACAGACGGAAGGTGATGCCAGTAGGGATGGAGGGAGCACCAGACGGGAAGGTCCAGCGCGGCATACTTGGTGCAAAAGAGGGGCGGCCGGCTTCTCGGCAGCAGAAAGAAAATCAGCCACAGACAAAACACCCAGGCATGGCTAATTCAGTTGCTGCCGTACAACGTACGAGCATCTCAGCCGCCCTGAGGCAGGACGGGCGGTCCTTGTACATACCGAATTCCTCCGACCCAAGTGGGAGATCTTCTCTCACTCAACACCAGGGCGGCCCACGAGGGCACACCACTCACGTTACCCACAACTTCGATTGATTCCACACAACCCCCGACAATTCAGCAGTGTCCACGCGGGTCTGCGCGTTCTGGGCCCTGAAATTCTACCCTTGCAAAGTACCACACGTACCCAACTGGAGTGACAAGTATTTGGAAGCAGCAGCAGCAGCAGCAGAAGCGTAGTTGAGCCGCATTTTTCTACAGCCCTGGGGGGGCCACGAGAAAAACGCGGGCCGATGCGGCGCCCGAACCAACTATCAGTACTGCTGGAACGGCTCTATGTTTTGGCGTGTGAGCCCTTGAGACTTGTAAACCTGGCATGCGTGCAGAGCGTCCTTTACGGAAAAGGAAACAAAAGCTGGTATCTGTTGCGTGTGGGCTGCATGCATTTACGTGGAAGACAAGGACAAAAACCTGGGACATATTTTGCTGCATTTCAGCGCCGGAAGCGACTACATACACCAGTGACATCTTACCGCAGAAATGGCGCAACTCGGCGATGAAATTTGCAGCCACATCATTAACGGGAGGATCCACTCGAAGCCACTCTGGAACCACCACAAACGCGCTCTGAGACGACGAGTTCGTTGTGATGGTTCAAGAGCTTCTTCAAGAGGATCCTCCAGTCAACGATATGGCTGCCAATTCCGTTGCCGAGTCGCGCCATTTCTGCTGCAACATGTCACCGGTGTAGTCGCTTCCAGCGCGGAAACGCGGTAAAATATGTCCCAGGTTTTTGTCTTCCACGTACATACGTGCCGCCCACAACGAAACAGATACCCGTTTTTTTTTTCCTTTTCCGTTGGCAAAGGACGCCTTGCACCCACGCAAGGTTTTCAAGTCTCAAGGGCTCACACGAGAAAACATAGAGCCGTTCCAGCAGTCCTGGTTGATACAATAGCTGTCCCGAGGAAGGGCAAGCAAAAACGAGTGGGACAATTGCAACTCGCCCAAAACAGAGGAATACTTTTCTTTGACCGTCAGTTTACGACAAAATTACTTTCGTTCCGGGGCCACGCAACTTCGAAAAAGAAGACACACTCCCCCCCATCAGCGTCATGCTCCCCCGAGTCAGTGAAGCACGAAGACGTGGATTAACCCTTGTGGGAAGCGCAATCTGAACGATTTGTCCTCATCTTCGGATAACTGGCTCTCTTCAAGGGCAAAAACTCTCATCACACACCGGTACAGACAAACGGTATACACAGACACACACCACGTTGTACGGGCAAGCCGGGGGCGACGTGATGGGTATTCATATTCATGTGGGAAACATGACGATGACGCTACACCGGTAGTTCGAGCAGCAGCTCCCAGCGTGAGCGGCGGCAAGGATGATACGGCAACAGGGATAGGTCGTTCCTTGCCTTGCGTGGGGCTCGCAGGGATGGGGGACAGGGGGGCTACGCAACGGTGACGACCGACCAGGGTACCATGTACATGAGCAATGTTACCGGGACCCACGCACACCGCAATCACAACAACAGCAGCAGCAGCAGCAGCACCGAGGCAGCACCATTCCTCGATCGCATCGGCTCCGGTCTGCGCTGTCGTTCCCTTCTCTCTAATCCGCCGGAACGGGTTGAAATATGTGCGTGTTGATGCTCTCCCGCCGCTCGTAATTCCCCCTTCGGGTCTGTAGTTTTCTGTGGGTAACACTGCTGTGTGCACATACGTGCTTGCGTGTTGGCCTTGTCCATTTCTCCCCCTCTGGGTCTACTGGTAGGTTGCTCTATCTCTCTTGTAGGTAATGAGGCATACCTGCCATCTTGTCCCACACAAAACCATATTTGTGTGCGTATAGTAGATAAGCTATCGAGGAACGTCAAAGTGCAAGTCATTTGAAGGAGTGGAAAACTTGTTGTTGTGTCTGCTGTTGGAGTGTACATAGCACCCACCGTCCGTTGATGTGCCAGTTGGACGAGTTGTTCTTTCTCGAGAACGTCCTGGTGACGTGGAGGTTGTTCCCATCCGGCATGTAGAGCTCCACCGTGACGGAGGCGTCTTCCTTGACGCCGTGCATCACGAACGCGCTCAGGTTGTCCGCGCGCCCCAACACCTTATGTTGCATTTTTCAAGTATACGCCGTTACACTCAGCAAGAGGTTGGCGTTGGCACGTGACGTGCTCTCTTGCCAACTGTTGCCTATACGTACTTTGAAGATTTCTCTCGGAACCCGCGAGCCTATTGTTGTACGCCAAGACTATCTTGTATGCAAACAAGGAGCACCGAGTTGTTGTGCCAACAGTCCTACACGGAGCGAAGTCGTCTGTTGGTGGGATCCGGTGGAACCAGAGATGATGTGGAACGTGAACACTAAGGTCGCGTGCAACATGGAGAGCGAGACCTTTATATATAGAAAAAAATCAGGGAAGGATGAGTTGCACAGGCACAGCAGTTTCGGGCCATAACTCTAACTGCTGTACGCCGGCGGCGTGTATCGCATACCATGTACAGCCACCGACCGCGCGACTGGTTCTGAGAGACAGCAAGGCGGATGCGCCCCATTTATTTTCGAAAAGAGTGGTCTGCCCCCTGCTGTGCATGCACTGCTTGCTGCTGCAGGATAAAGTGTGTGCGAGTTTGAAAATTGAAAACATGAGCGCACTCGACACGCACATCGCCGTTGCTTCAGCGCCTTGCTTCAGCGCCATTGACCCCACAACACTTCTAGCAGACCATCGCGGTACTACTGTGTGCGGTCGTGAGAGTTGTCAACGCGGTAACGCGGGTACCAGGCAGCAACAACGAGCCCGCTAGTGCTGTATCTAGACAGGAGACACAGCAGTCTAATGAGCATAACGGCAGCCCCGACACGCATGATGGACAGCATCCATCTGTCTGTTGAGACTGCTCCCGTGCAACACCGACCATCAAGAATGCTCTCACCTTGGGGGAACCGCCCAGGCCGAGCGCAATGGCGCACACGAGCGTAGACTTTCCCGAGCCGTTCGGCCCCACGACCATGTTGAGGCGTGGCCCAAACACGGCCTTCGCGTCCTTGTATACGAGAAAGTTTTTCATCTTGAGGCTAACGATGGAGCCTTTCTTCCAGCCCGAAACCTCGCGGCCAATGGCACCGGTGCCCGAGCCCGTGAGCCTTTCTCTGCTCATGGGCGCCCTGCTGCTGATGTTGGTGGTCACCATGCTGTTGATGCCTTTGGTCTCTCGGCACTACCTGGCACACCTCCTGCCCCTCTTTCAGTTGACAAATTTGAAAAATACGGTGTGTTTTACCGCCCAGTCGTCGTCGATGACGGAAGAAATCCAGAGGGTAGAGACGCCTAGCGGGCGTTGATTTCTAGCTCTTCTCTTCCCAGCCCTCTTGATATCGCTCTCCTTGTCTGTCCCTGTCTCTGCCTTTGAATTATTTTCACTCTCCTGTCTCACTGCCATGTTGAATTCAAACTGGTCGTGGGGGCTCGATTCAAACCGGCACATCACGTGCGGGTGGGTGCAAGGGTGGGGGCGACGCGAATGCGACGGTTTCGTTTTAAATGTACCTGTTGTTTTTGTGTTCAAATTTTTCGTCGAGCACGTCGTTCGATGGATCCCAAAAGAGACCCGTAGCCCACAAGATGATTACTACATTGGTTGTCGATAATGATATGTGTTGTTCTTAGAACGCCTAAAGGACCCAGTAACCGATAGATCGAGCGGCTCACGGGCAGGCATCTTGCCGTATCATCATGTCGAACCCGATAAAATGGCTGGATAGAGACGAGGGTCCGGTCAACTACGGCGAACCAACCTACTGGGAGAGGCGATGTAAGCAGCGTCAAATGCCGCCAGGGCGACTGCACTATATAGGTCCAGGGTGTTCAATCCACTCCCTGCTTTGTCATTATCTACACGCGCTAAACATACTGACAACTCCGTACGATCCATGTGAAATGAGGGATCCTCTGGCCTCTGACCCCGCCCCCCTTTTGGAGCGCCCTTGTATGCATATGCCATGCCATAACCCAACCGGTTGCCCTAATTCGATTCACCTCTTCACAATCTGAGCCTGTGCACCACATCTGCAACGTCGCCAAGTTCGAAAATTAGTGTTATTGGTCCCCCACAAATTGTATGCATAGGTGGACGGTGGAATTGAGCCCTGGTTCCTTCTTGTCCACAAAAAGTCATTTCACCGCGACCCACATGTGAAAAGAGGAATCGTCCTCGACAGACGTTGGGGAAACGCTACATTATGTCGAGGTCACATTCACCGTCAACCCCTCCTTGTGGTGCTTCGTTTTGATGCGCCGACCGCACCATCTGTTCAGACGAATTGGACCGGAAAGAATTCGGCACCAGCTACCGCTATGACTGGTACTTTGAGCACGATAAATGTGAGGACCACGAAGCACGTCGTACAAGTATTGGCATCTTGCCATCTGCTGCAAATAAACAACCAAGGAGGTCACATGCCGTAAGTTTTGTGATAGGGGCGCAATCTACTTGCAAGATAAGATATTGCTGTACATACCCGGTGAGTCAACAACGTGTAGCCTTGTACCGTGGGTGATCGGAAGGGATACGTACTCACTCACGAGCTCCCTCTTGACTCTCCTGTTGCTGTCATCAACTCTCCGTCCAGTAAAAGTGACCTTTGAGTCGTACTTTGGTCAGCCGAAAGGTCAGCGGATCCTGATCGTTGGTTGCGGGCTCTCGACAATTGCATCACAGATGCATGCCTTGGGCTACCGTTGCATCACCGCAATGGACATCTCTGCAACGGCGATCGGACTCATGCAGGCAGGCGACCAGGACAAGGAGGGCATCGAATGTAAGCTTGCCAACATGCGGTTCATTCTTTTACTTCGGGAATGGCCGCGTCGCAAGAATGACAGCTACTTGTCAAAACGAGAACTTAGTTGAGGCTCAAATGCTCGAACAATGAGAAAGTTTGTCTCCAGGACACTTGGAAATAGCAGTTCCCTTTTCACTGCAAAGATATACGGTCGTGCGTAAATTGCAGCTATACAGAAAGGGTTGTTACAGTTCGCTCGGTGGTGGATTGCTGCCCCTTGGAGCAGCGATTGCAGTCTGGCCCCGTGGCAGCGTTGCCGAAAAAAACTACACTTGGAAACGACGGTCTTTACGCCCACTCACGACGCCGTATATTCCAGTGCCGGCCCGCGAATAAGAAACACATATTTTGGGCGAGGCTCAAACCTTATTTCGTCCCCACCACTGAGCAAAGGTTTCTTCTTTAGTGGGAATTGATGTAGCGCCGGCCGTTATGCCAAATTCTTAGGGCATTTTCTTGCATAAGTTTGGCCAAAATCTGAGCCTCGGTTTCTTGCGAAGAAGTAAATACTTCTCTCGAGGAATTTGTCGACAAGGCAAAAAAAAAAACACCGTACACACCATGCATGCATGCTCTTTCTTCGCGCTTTGCCCCCTGCCACGCGGCGTACATCAGATATGGTTGGCGACGCTAGGAAAATGGATAGCCTTCCTGACAACTTGTTCGACGGAATCTTCGACAAAGGTGTTGCCCGTACCCGCGTCTGGCTCTAGATGGAGATTGCGTCGCGCCCACCACCCTGTCTGAATGCATTTGAGTGACGCCTGCGTACAGTGTGGAACCCCCCCTGCTATTCCATGACTATACTACGTGGTGGACTGGTCGCCTACCCTAATCGAGTAACATCAGGAATATTCAATGCCAGAGTACGCCAGAACTCATTCACCGTTTACCCGTCACGCTGTTCAGGTGTTTTATACCGTCGATGACGAACCATGAGCACGGGGCTTGTTTCTCTTGGCACGCTTTCACAACAGGATGTGCGGACTCTTTGATCTGTGGGTACAGAACGACGGACGACGTGGTGGATATGTTCCACGAGTGCTGCAGAGTCCTCCGGCCATCCGGGGTCTTTTTATGTGTGTCACGTGAGTGCGTAACGCTGCTTTGACACGAAGCCCTGATGCGGGTGAGTTCGCTAGGTGTTCCTCGATGATAAGGTCACGAAACCAAGTTTGCAGCAGGGAGTCTCTGGCGCGGTCGTCGCTTGCAATGTGTACACGCAGGTTTCTTTGTCGTACTCAGTCGACCGGGCGATACGGCAAATAAATAAAACTGCGAAGAGCGCAACTGGCTGTCACTATTTAGTCTTATCCCTCTCTTGCTCTCACTCACTTGCGATAGGCTTACAAGCAAGCATCTTCCCTCCCGCATACCCCTACAAAAACGCGAAATGCTATTACTTGGGCAGACGGAGCCCCGGACGCGAGAATGCACATGTTTGAACACGAAGGGCTGCAGTGGCTAACGAACGTCATTCCGATTCGTGAGTTCTTGTGGTTGTCGCCGGGAGCAGGTGTCATTTGTTGAGTCTCGCCGGGTCTCTTTTTACGGCTGTATCGAGGAACGTCCATGTGTACCTCATTGCTTTGTCGTTGCTCTGTTTGAAAACGGTGCTATTGGGCACGCATATCCTAGGGCTGGGAGTATGCGCGCAACAAATCAGGACTGTTGTCAGCACGTGTGCGAAAACCAGTCTGCATGGAGCGTGCACACCCGAGGTGGGGAGTAGTTGAGTTTTCCCTTACGCAGTCCACGACGATTCCAGACGGAAAAGCGTTGGCGCGGAATTTTTCTTCAGAAACACCCAACAGTAGTACAGCATTCGACAACGTAGCCCTCCTTTGTCGGATCACGACCAACCCACGTGACCCCTAATTCCTGCAACTCAGACGGGTCCGAAGGCCTGAATGTCTACGTGAGCACCAAGTGGACCCAGGAGGAGATCGAAGCTGCAGAAAGGCAGCGGTTGGACGACATAGAGTCGACAATATCAATGCGAACACGCAGCACCACGTTTTCGCACTCGACGCGGTCACGACGGGGTATCATGCACCAAAACCGGATTGTGTATGCCATGTGAGTGCCATGATCCGCAGGAGGAAACGACCGCCGCGCTTCAGAGGCGCTCATTGAAGGAAAAACGACGGAAAAAACGCTACCCCCGCTCGAAGCAACAAATCATTCCACCTTCGAGAAGAAGTTAAGGCACGAACAACACTAAAAGCAGGGGCGCGTGGTGTAGGAGTAGATGTCCCGCGGGGTGCGTCGTGTTTTCTTGGAACATACGGCGCCCCGGGGGGCAGAAAGCACGTCAATTGTGTGCCGTTTTCCGGTAAACACGTGTGGTATGGGCTCAACCCGAAAGACAATGCAACGTTGCTCCGCGAAGCACTGTGAACCAGTGCAAGTGGCATGAACTTATGAAATTCTGAGAATTGAGGTGGGGTCTCCGGCTGCTTTCTAGCTTACGGGGAAAGCAGAACCAAAATCAATCGAAGGCTCGAGGCAGGTAAGATTAGCGAAGGGCGTGATAGACACGGCAGCATGTACTCCGGAGTATTTTGTCTTGATCAAAACAGGGCCGACAGGGCCTCCCTCTGATGTGTATGGTGACCTCCCAACACGGCAAGTATCTCACGCAAGCACGCACGGAGAGATTCAACCAAACGTGCTATCGGCAACCTTTCGAATACACCCTTCAACGGCCGGACTTCACCCTTCAGGGCGCCGCACGAGATCGAAGCGATGAAGAAAAAGCGAGACGAAGAGGCGGCAAAGCGGAAGCTAACCGAAGGAGCTGCCCGAGCGGAGGCAAAGGCAAAGGCGATAGCGGCGGCAACGGAAACTGAGGAGCGCAGCCTTGTTCCGCTCGAGGCTGGCGGTCAAGCCACCCGCAATTCTGCAATGGAAAGCGACGCCGCTCCTAGGTCAACGTCGAACGGTGATGTCGACTCTCACGGCGCCACCGCTTCCACACCGGGGGCTACCGCCACAGGTTCGTCGATGCAAAGCAAAGCAACAGCATCGGGCGGGGATAACCTAACAGGCGGATCGGACGGTGGCGGTTTCTCGACACAAGGGGGCGACACTGTGCCGACTTTGTCTAGCAGCTTTACGAGCTCTACCGAAGACCTCCCAGTAAAACTGGTCGCTTCGGGTTAATTTTCATGGCAGTACGAGAATCGAAACGATCGAAGCACCTGTTAGATGTCTGCGGGAGGTTCAGGATGGAAGCGCGCGCATATTGGACCAAGAGGATAAGGCAAGACACTGAGAGTGCCTCTTGTCGAAAGCCGGGGAGCGGGTCGAACACAGGGTAGGTATAGATAGGCTTGAACATAACCACCAAATAATTTCTGGCTCTTTCGTTTTGGCCAGCAAACATGGTATACAGCTGAACAGCTGAACACATGTCTCGGGTTGTGCCCCAGTCTAAACATCAGGCAGGGTCGGTCAGCGGTCGCACCAGTGTGCTTAAAGATGATGCTCCAGTTGGGACGAAACACTTCAGGATTTGGTGGCTTCAGAATATTTGGGTGGTCGACTGCAGGCCGGTATCTCGATAGCAATGAAGGGGGGCGTCATGTTTTGCATGCCTTAGCGGTAAGGCCATTGACCACGCGTCCTCGAGATGACGGAGCATTGCTCCCATAAGACCGATCACCGATGGCCAATCGTTCCTTCCTACTTTGCCAAAGGTATGGCGATGAGGGGGGGTGTCTCAAAGCCTGGGTGCGGAGCTCACCGCCGACCCCTTGCAACCGCTAGTCTAGGCGATTTCTCACCCAGTTTACCGGTGGTCACATTCGTCCAAAGCCGGCATGCGAAGTTTGATCACAATCCATGTACCATGGTATTAAAAAGCAGCGAAAAAACAGGGGGCGCCTCGCCGCACGCTGTACGCCCAAAGCATAAGGACCACCACCACCGTAACTTGCGCCACACAATAAAACAAAACAAAAAACAAAAGCAACGGGGACGGAACGATCTGCGTGATCTTCCTGTGCCGCAATTCGCAGACTTCACACCGAGAAATTCTACGCCTACGACTTTCGCCTTCCTCACGTCCACAACCAGGCCTGCACGAGCAAGCAGGAATCCTAGAAACGACCGACCGAACTAAACAACTCACAAGACATCCCGCTCCGTTGCCGAGGTCACTCCACCAGCGTTATCCCCTGCTCTTCGACACGTCGGAAACACGTGAACTCTTTCACGCATACCTAACACACAAAAGCGGCACGCTCCTGCATGCTGTGCAGAATCCCCCTCCACCCCCAAAAAATCAATCGGCCTCGTCGTATTTCTCGGTTCTTGAAATTCTTCCTACAAATACTCTCTTGTCAAGTACTAGATAAATCGTCTAGTTGATCTTCATGGGGTCCTGCTTCTGGAACCTTGCGCAGTCGTCTTGTGCTGCCATCCAGTCCGGCTTCATTGTTCGGAGGCTGGTCGCTGCGTCGAAGTAAACGAGAAACGGGCGATCAAAGTTGGTTGCACAGAAGCGATCAAACAGCATCATCGGTGCAATGTACTGCAGTGGCGGAAGGCAGCGCTCCCGAGGGCATGTAAATACTAAATTGAATTGATCTTGACGTCTTGCTTGAGAGCTTGTCATATGAACAGCAGGAACTACAAGGGTGCCACACACAAAACGCCAGACTACCCAACAGTACCTAACACATTTATTTCTTCTGCACCTTCCCAACATAACATATATGAGACACACAAGACAGCTACCAAACTGTCTTGTTGAGCCTGTTACCCACAGGGGAGATGTCCCTATATGCTGTCTGGGAAATCGTAGACATACAGGTACTTTCTGACGCTATGAATTCATTGCTAATCTGTCTCAGACTCTTTTCTATGATAGAGATGGATTCGTTGTGTCATATTAAAAAGATAAAATAAAAAATAAAACCAGGTACGGTGAGAGAAAAAAGAGGAGGAAATTACAGCACCTACACAATGCAAAGAGGCGGAGATATGGCACCGGTCGTGGAGATGGCACTGGTGCGTGCATACAACACCGCCGTGGCACCAGTAGGGCCGCTGCTGTGTGTATTTTGGCATCGCACACATCGGACAGATCGCACTGGGGCGCCTTGAAAAAGCCCAGTAGTACAGACGAATTGATGTATTGACAATTTTCTTTCCGCACCGGTTCTACAGTAGTAACAAAAAAATACACTGTCAACGATACAGTATGTATACATAAGCAGTAGCAGTGCCATCTCGCCGCCTTGGGCATGTGACGTGCAACTTGTCAGTGTCCGGATGAACGAAAGCAAAGCAAAGCAAAGCAAAGCCTTGCCCGATTTCCCACCAACGAGAGCATGCATCGGCCTACAGCAGCCTATAAGAAGTCGACAGCAGTGCAGGGAAGACGCGCAGGTATATCACATCAAGCACACCTGTCCACTATTGTTGTCGCACCACCCTACCTAATCCTCTGCTCACACACGATTGAATATTGCGGCGTAAAAGGCAAAGCGTTGGCGGCCGTTTTGTATGACGTTTAGAGTTGACAGCACTACAGCAGCACAGAAGTTAGAGGTTAGAGGCAAATTCGGCATAATTCACCGAATGTGGCACCGCCGTGCACCACCCGTTCGCTGCAATATCGGCCTTCCCCCCAGCGTTCGGTGAGGGAAGCAGCAGCCAGAGTCAAGCCCCTAAAGGACACTCTGTCTGGTAGTCGAGGCGGTTACCGGCGAGTTCTTCTCTCCCCGGCGGGCGTGCGGATGCACTCTATGTAGAGCTCTGGTCCATTGATGACGTGTGCGTGAGGTGACATGGGCACATCACATCAGAACTTGCAACGCACTCCCTCGCCAACAACAGGGATGCGGAGCGTTTGCACCAACGACTTCTGCTACGGCTACTTCGCTCAATATACACGCGCGTGACAGGGCTGAGAGTAGGAGACTGCAGCTCTGCAGCTGGGCATCAACACCACATACGGCAGCAGCGCGTTTGGCCGCGCCTGCAGTTTTCCAACACAACACGAACAAAAATTGTACCTGTGCTTTGAAGGACCGAGTAGAAAACGGTTGTGGTCGCGGTGGCGGCGACAAAGGAGGCACCGATGGCCTTGCTCTTACTGACGGAGGTGGCGAGCTTGAGGATAGTCATGGTTGGGTAGTTGACGGCGTGTGATAGAAAAGATGGGTGTGCGTGTGTGTCTGAGTGGCACAGCAGAGAACGAGAGACGAGAAACGAGAGAAGAGAGACAGTGCCGCCCATGGAAAAAAAAAAAAAATGATATTACGCATGCACACAGGCAGGGCACCAAATTCGCACTGCTTCAGGTGCTCGGGTGCTGTAGGTCTATACAGCAAAGTGAGTCCTCAGAACTGGGGCACTACGGTAGTACACCACTCCAGAATATATTCACGGACCCAAATAGATTCGTCCACCGCCCCGAAAAGACAAAAAGACGAGTGAGTGCGGCGGACTCACAAGTACCCTTTTTTTTAGAGACAAGGCGCCTGAGGCACGCTTCAATAGCGTCGTGTGGACGCCATTTCTGCTGGAGTACTGCTGTAGACAAGATGTTGGAGAGTAAACTTAGTGAATCACAGGAAGAAAAAAAGACAAAAGGGTTGTATTTTAACATGCAAGAGAAGATGAATTTGCTATGTGCACAATAGCGCTTGCACACGTGATTCTATTCTCTCTTCAGAGAAGATATCGACGCGATCTTCCTGATTACCTGTACAAGCAAGCACAGGTCTACAGCAGTACAGTAGTAGCTGCCTCTTCTGCCAGTTGTTACCTACTATGCTGCACCATGTAGCACATACCCACTCTCGGTGCGAACCTAACCTACGTGTTTACTGAACGCCCGTCTGCTCGTGTTGCGCCGCCGCTAACAACTGATACGATACCTACAACGAGAATTGCTCGGACAAGCAAGCAACAGCAGCGAACCGTTGATTCCAGGCCCTGATGATTCTCACAGGTGGCAGCAATTGCACTTAGCAGCGTGAAGAAGAGTTGTCTCCAATAAACCGCCCCGGCAAGAAATACCTTACTTTTGACGATTCTCTGCCAACTTTTTTCTCGATCCATAGTGTCTAATCTCAAAAATGCTGCACACACATACACAATACGTATGTATGTATAACAACAACATCGAGAAAATCCTCGACAGACGTTTGGGGAGAAGGTGACCTCCACAACTCCATAGCAGTCAAATTTGCGATCCGATCAGTTGGTGAAGAACTGAAAGTAGGCGCACGAGCCGCTACGGTTCCATTGAAGTTTCCACGAGGGTCACACGTTCTTCAGGCGTTCGGGGGCACCTCCAGCTTTGAACGCACTCTACTCGATGCTCATCATTCCCCTACCGTGCGGCGGGGGACCATGTCGTTTGAAGAAACTCCTCCCGCTCAACTACACCTTTTGATAGCAACGAGGGCAGTATTGTTACCGTATGGTGAAACGTTGCGTACTGGCGGAGTTTCCCAAAAGCATGGGCATCGCCATGTTCTATCTTGTCCTCCTCGGCATTGTGGGGAAATTGAGCCGTCGAAAAGGGTCCTAGCGTTATCCACAAAACGGTGGCCCGTGGATGGGTGATTTCGTGCAACAAGGGTGGTGGGGTGCTTCCCTTCAAATGCAAAACACTATTCACGGCACATGTTTTGCATGCATCATCCCGAGCCTTATTTACGGGTGCGCCACGCGATCCCCGTAGGACAGCATACGCAATACTCCAGGGCTTTTCTCGCATTCACGGGTCTTTCATTTGGGCCAAGGCCTTCTCGAAGAGGTTCGAGAAAGAAGCTCCCACGTTGACGCCGGAGCACGCGGACGTTTCGAAATACGTGAAACCATGATCTTTGGCCCAGCGCTGCCCCTCCTCTTCGCTAACGACTCGTCTCTTATCGATCTTGAGGTACACACACGAGAGTAGTATTGATCGGTCGCGAGCAGACGGTGATGGCAAGGAGGGCGGTTGGAGAAGCCTTTGTCAAAGATGGCGGTCTTGGCATGCTCATGCAGCCATTTCTTGGTAAATACGAGGAAATGTGTCTTCCCTTGTTTTCCGTAACTTCTACACCGAACAATGGGGGTTGCACGCATATGGAAACAAGCCAAGAGGAAGAGTAGAATTGTACCTCAAGAAGGCATCGGACGTGGGGGGCAACCCGGGAAGAGTGTTCGCTCACTACGACTTTTCCTGTTAAAAACGGCTGAAGTTTACTGATGACAGTTATTCACAGGGGCCGCCTGCAAGGGATACCAAGCGCTCTTTGTTCGCTGGAACCGGGAAGGAGCTGTTGCTCGCGGTGACGAAATTTGTGCTGCATGCCAATGATTGACGTATCTTGACGTATCACCAATCAATCAGCGATCTGCGATGCAGGATCATCAATTCGAAAGGCTCGCCAACGGAGACGGTCGTCGTGCCGGAAATGCTACCGAGACCCTCGCTGTGCGAAGTGATGCGAAACGTTCGTGACCGTGAATCCTCGAAACCGTAACATTCCATACATGCGTCCGAGCGTCCGCGACCGGACTCTCAGCAAACGATGCTCGGGAAAACCGTGCAGTAACATTTATTGCGTTACGCTGACTGAGAAGCAAGTAGATGAGTTGTACTAATGATCCCGCTGTTTCCGCGCGCTTGCGCAGTGGTGGGTGCCTGTATGAATTTGTCTCTTTGTTGATATGACCGAACCAGATACGTACATGGTGCCAGTTGACGCCGGGGAGCCAATAACATAGACAGCAGCACCAAGGCAACAAACAACAACCTGCATTACTGCTCAGGAAAACCGCTCGCTTCAAAGAATCGTGCTTGCGCCTTGATTGCTCACCTTATTTGCACACACTGCCATGGGAATTCCGCCCGCACCGAAGTCGGCAGCTTCTACTAGCCACTGCTCCAGCTCTTCAAAACTTGCTCGGTTGGCCACGTCGTACACCAGAACCGCCTGAACGCGAAGTAGACAATTGAAAGACATGACATGCACCACCTTCGAATCGGGGTTGTTTGGCGCTGTTACAGCCGCGCAGTAGTGCACGCTCTTTCAGCTTACGAAATATCAACATCGTCGTAAGACAATTTGCGAGTACTATTGTGTTGAACTCTGCTGTACTAGCGGAAGGCTAGACCGTGTCATTGATCTTACAGTAGCAGGCGCAGGGTGGGAACCTCTACACTACGAAATTCGGACTTCGGTTCGCTACCGTGGCATTCGCAGCATGAAACTTCGGTGCTAGTGGCTACTCACCCCCTGCGAATCCTTGTAGAACTCGTTTCGAATCTCGAAGAAATCAGGGTGTCCCGACAAGTCCCAAAAGTTGATGCGCACCGATTCCCCGTTTACCGTGACCGGCTTCACCCCGTAGTCGATGCCAATGGTCGAGATATACTTTGACACGAACTGCGTTGAAGGGTCGAAGCCGTAAAGCAGAGGAGCTGCAATTTGCGCTGGCTTCGAAACGCACCTCTCACCTCTCGCAAAGTACGATAATTTGGCTTTCTTTGGTATACAGAACACATTTCCCGTCAGTTCCTGTGTCAAGAACCAAAACATGACCGACCTTGGCGATAACTACATACCATATTTGATCATCTTCTTTATTAACACCCCCCGCATTTGGTCGTACAGTATCGGAGGGGAAACATATTTACAACGAATAAAGTGTTACTCATCACTTCAACGTGACTCCTCGTTTCAAAGTTGGGTACTACCGATGCTTGCATAAAAGATCGCACACACCAACTCACTCGTTCTTCGCAGAACCGCTTGATGAGGCAGCTCTTGCCCACGCCAAGAGCCCCCATCGAAATGATTTTCATTCGGACACACTGCCGTTCCAGAGGTGTCAACGGGTTCGACACTTTGACATACGGAGAATCACCGATGAAACTAGCAAATGACCGATAATCCGACTACAAGTACACGTACATGTTGTACATCGCGACTGATTACAGCAAGCAGCAGACTTGTCAAGATTGTCAACAACAATGAATGCTGAACGATTTGCATCCGCTTTGTCTACCGTCGTCCACTACCATCTTGCCTCTCTCAACTGCAGAACTCGGAGTAGGGTCATGTGGGAACGTTCTTCAAATTTCGATCTCCATCATCTGGCGTATCACCTCGTCGCGAGGCCAACTACTGCTGTTCTTCGCATGCATGCTACACATGCATGATGCGCCCGCGACTTGACAGGACATGCAACAATATCTTACCCATAGCTTCTTCTGAGGAGCCTCTCGAGCGCGGGAAGTGTACAGATCGTCTACTCCTTTGCTCTTCCTCCGCATCCCACCGCTCGGCCATCTCGCTGTCCCCTCCGGCATCCGGCGTTCTAGTGGTGTCACAAACGCCGATCGATCTAAAAAGGATCGTGCAGCGAAAAAAAAGAAAAAAAAACTGTCAAAAATGAACATCTCCCCCTCCCAGAAAACGCCAAGAGAAAAACATGGCGACGAAATCTCCCAAATGAAATCTCCGATTTTTCGAATCACGAAAGTGACGCAATGGCGGTGTGTGGAGACAACACACAACGACCCGGCTTTGCAACACCACTCTATGGGGATGGTGCTGCGATCGAAGTCCAACACTTCCTTGCCAACTCATCAGTACACGCGTGTTTCGGTAGAGCCGCAGCACGCCACAAGACAAGCACAGCTTCCGCCCAGCGGCCGATTCCTCAGCAGCAGCAGCAGCAGCAGCGTCCTGGGTTCGCTCCTCAAGAGGGCCGTCCTCGTTGTCGGGGTGGTTGCCCCTGTGGTGTTTATCTTGATCTGGCGCCACCTCTTTTCGATCGATGCGGGAGCTGTCTTGGCGGAGAATGGCGGCAGTGGGTCGTCGATTGAGAACACCTTTACGGTTAGGTGAGTTGGGTCGGATACGTCGCGGTGAGGAGGACACGGTTCGGTACGTAGATTCAGGGGCGGCTGCTGCTGCTGCTGCTGCTTGGGTGTATAGAGGAACGCCAACACAACGAAAGAACGGTACCGCTGCGTACTAAGCCGTCAACACCGACTTCCTCTTCAGATGGTTTGCAACAGCTGTTGGGGAGCTTCACGTAATTTCGAGACCAATTGCCGCCCCAAAGCCGTTGTCAACCAGGCTTTCCCTCGTCGCGAACGGATCCTTCCAAAATTGTTCCTCATGATGTCGGGGACCGTTCCCACGATCGGAGGGATCATCGGCCCTATTCGTTGTTTTCGTGTGCAGGAAACCGACACACGCGCCCTGTTTACAGCCCGTAGCTGTTACTGCCTGTAGACATAGCCTGGAGTTCAAGGCTACAGCCCCTGCAAGAACGGTGGCCCGCCTGCAGGCCTTCACTCACAAGTAGTTCGCGGGAAAAACTCTTCGCCGTCCTTTCTCTTTCTCAGAAATATTTAAGTCGACGAAAACTGCTCGCGCGTGTGTGTTGTTTGCTCAGCGACTGCTGTCACTGCTCAATAACGCCATGTATCTCGGATATACATTTTCGATGCCTTGCGTCAGGCGTTCGGTGCGCCGGAGCAGCACAATCACCCACCCTGCAGACGGTGGTCATTGTCTTGCCAGCCGGGTGTGTCAGCCGGGTGTGTCCCTCCTTCGCATGCCATGTTCCCACGTAATCTACCACAAAATTCGCATCTGTAACCCGTGTTCTAAAGCCGATCTCCGCCCCTCGAAATCACTCCGTGTCGCACAAAGGATGAACACCTTCCGTCGCAACGACCTGCTCAAGAGAAGCGCGGAGCACCTCGCGTCCTGCGACTGCGTCGGCCAGATCCAGGTCGTCTGGTCGGACCAAGAAAACGCTCCCCCTAGCATGGACCTCTTCACCGAACGAACCCGAAGAAAGGTAGTCTTCGAGGTGCACGACACCAACAGCCTCAGCCATCGCTTCAACGTCACGTCGACCTTGGGCACCGACGGCGTGTTCTCCACGGACGACGACCTCGAGATCTCGTGCGCGGACCTGAAGTTCGGGTTCGAGACATGGCGGGCCAGCCAGAACACCATGGTCGGCTTCTCGCCGCGGCTGGTGACGCGCAACCCGGGGACCGGGCGCCACTCGTACCGGTCTTGGAGGGTGGTGCGCTGGAACGGGGTGTACAACGTGATCCTGACCAAGTGCTGCTTCCTGCACCGGGACCACCTGCGGACGTACGTGGACGAGATGACCGCGCCGCTCCTGGCGTACATCGACGAGCACCGGAACTGCGAGGACATCGCCATGTCGGTGGTGGTGGCCAAGTTCCACAAGACTCCCCCCGTGTGGGTCGGCGGGAGGGTGAAGGAGATCGGAGGGGACGGGATCAGCGGCTTGGCGCACCACTTCGACGCGCGCAGCAACTGCGTGGACTTCTTCGCCGAAGAGTTCGGAGACATGCCGCTGTTGGAGTCTTCCGTCAAGGTGTACCCCATGCACACTGGTCTGTTGTCGTGGCTGTAGGACACTGGCCTGATTTGTTTTGCCGGAGGGGGTGTTTAGGTAGTGGCCTTTTGTGCATTAGTCACGGAGTTCACCCGTTCCCCATCCGAGCGACGGTTTGGTAGAGGAAAATAGCGCTAGGAATTTTTCCACTACAGTACGGTAGGCCGTACGCTGTGGTGTCGACAGCACCAATGAACAACAGCACGTACGTCTTGCTGTGGTATTGATGGTGTCGGTACGCTGCTCGTGCCGAATATTTGTCGAAATTGAAACATGGCACGGGATGCAGCAGGCCCCTGGGAACGTTTCCCGCTCTTGTTTATATTTAGGGATGCAGCGCCCAGGAAGAAGTGCAGATGATGCGGGCCGCTGCGCCTATCAAGGGTCTAGTTGTGAGAAATTTGCACGCATGTTTCAGTCGTTTTTTTAAGTTGTGCTGTCATATTGGACCACACCACACCACGCTAGACAACTAGTGGTGAGGTTAGTGTTTGGTGTTCTGTTTATTGTTGCAAGCAAGCCGACCAATATCGTCCACTTGCGAGTATAGGAGTTTGCAACCGTGCTTAGGTCGCCAGCAACTGGGGGCAAGTGTGTAGACGGGGGCGTGGGCGTGGGCGTGCGTGGCATAGGAATTGTACATAAAGTGTTCACGGTGTTTTATGTTGAGGTTGTCTACCTACTGGTGTTTACACAGTGCGTAGAAGGCTATAGTAATAGGTCCGCAGATAACTGCAACAGGTTGGGAATCGTACAGAGGCCGTTCTGTAAGTTGCCGTGAACGACCAGTTGATTTCGAGAGCATACAGGAAGTTGTAAACTGCACATGAGACCATCGCGATCGCCTGTATCCTGTTTGAAGAGCATATCGTGGTTTGTCGATGGTCTGTATGCACGCTCGTTTCCCTGCAACGGTAGAGCTGTTGCTTGCACGAGCGCTACATCAGGTTCACGCCAGGCGGTCATGTCTTGAGTAACTTGGTTTGGATGAAAAGCACGCGGTAGGTTAGTGACTGGCCCCAAGATGCGGATACGCCAAAAAAAAAAGAATATTCCAACATGTTGACTGAAGGCGGCGGGTGTTTCCCAACCATGCTCCACACGGAAAGCTTGGTTGGCCCGGTCGACCTTGGTAAACGTTCTCCCGTCGCCCTCAACATGGTCGCGGACAAAGGTCATGGTCGTCGAAATGTCGTCCCTGAGCCCGTGCCATCAGAGGATAGGCAGCTTTCGTCGGCACTTGAATGCGAAAGTTACGCCCGGCAGCGGCTACTGCCGTGATGGAATCCCCAACCTCTGTTTGGAACACCACACACCACAGACACACACACATCACGCTTGTGTTTGTGCAGGAGGTGGTCTTGGGAGCCTAAACAAACAAGATGTAGGTCGAGCTTTGGTTGGAACATCACACACAACACATGCTTGCGGTTTCCGCAGGAACGTGGTGTTGAGCCCACTATGTAGGCCGGCTGCGTGCCCGGCCTAGAAGCACGGACCTCCGTTCTTCAAATTCGTTCTTCAAATCATGATTCCATCTTCACCAAAACCGCTGCTGCTGCCATCACAAACATACACACACATATATCTACAAGAGACATAGCAGCTGCGCCACGAACAACGAAACGCTTCACCGTCCTGCGCCACTGCTGTAATACTACTGTCCAACATCACAGCAGAGCGCTTGGCCCGCCTACAACCTGGGTCTGCCTCTCCGTCTGAACGACGGAAGAAGCAGAGTCACCAGCATCACGACGACTGATCTTGTCGACACGCTCTCTACTTCCCCCCCACCAACACCGACTTCGTACCGGACAATCCAAGCTCGTGGACACAACCGAGACCTACAATCACGAGGGCTCTGTCCCACCAACAGCAGGAAGGAACGATATCCTCGTTGTCTTGCTCAGTGTACTGGTGTGGTACGCGTAGCACATGCTAATCGGGAGAAGGGGGGGGGGGGGGTCTTTCTCTATCGCGGGGCGCCTTCGAACGTCGTCACCGAGTTAAACAAAAACTGCGACCCTGTCTGATTCCCACGCCAACGTCCGGCGACGAAATCATTGGCAAAAGCTCGCCGACGTGTCCTACATCCAACATGATCCGAGTGCCATCAGATGGCAACGGTTTTGATTTCTCAACTAGCCTAGTAGACGTGAAAGAGATGGCCAGGTGGAGGGGTCACTTGTTTCGGGGGCGGAAGTCCATCCCGGCGCGATTGCGCTTGCTCCTGCCCCTCCTCATGCCACCGGATCGGTCCTCCATGTCGAAGCCCACGTCGTGGAAGCCATCGTCCTATGCATATCGCGTCGGATGGGTAAAAAAAAATGCAACGTTCGGGTCAGTCAGAAGACGAAATAAATATGTTCATCCCTTTCCAAGACGATTCTTGTGGGATTAAGTTCATCCCTTTCCAAGACGATTCTTGTGGGATTAAGTGCCTTCTACAGCGATGGTAATGGGGCCATGGCGTTCTTCACAGCCCGAACCCCCCGCTTTGGATGGGCTCGGTCGATCGCTGCTGATGAGAAATTTCTCACGAGGATTTTGATTCCTCTCAAGAATGTAGACTAGTATTATTTTATTCCACGCACCAGTATTCGGTCTAAAAAATTGTCTTAAAAATGCCGGCACTTGAGGCATGTTCATTTGCTGGAGTCTCGCCGTCATGGGCACTTCAATCGACGTAGCGCATGTGAATGCCGACTGTCCATTAGCTCCGTCGACTGCAATGCGTGGGTGTTTATTGTACCGCGCGTGTGTGATGCGCGCTTGATCAGGGACGCAAGTATTTTCTCAGGAAAGGAACACTACGGAACGTGCAACAGCAGCATGGTACACTACGCAAAGGGCACCACGACAACCAAGACAAGGCCGACAAAAAAAAAACGAAGACGGTCACAAAGCAACGACAATAACAACAACAACAACAACAACCACCACCATCAACTAAATAGGTGAGGATACTGCAGAGAGGGCGACTGATTCACACCGCGCAACACAGGCCCCTTTATCCCCACGTCTCGACTACAAAAGGAGGAACCACAACAGCAACCAAACTGTAGCCCATTCTCCCTGCATTTAGTGTCACCTCGAAAACTATAAACGATGCCTAGCACAACCTCCCCAGCCGGTACTCTGGCCGCCGCCGAAAGGTACAAGCGACTCACATCTCGCTGCTTGCCCGTGCTCTCGCTGAAGTTTTTCTTCACCTCCGCCGCCTCCGCCGCCAAGCTTTCGGCAATCTGTGCCTCACTCTTTCGTGATTCCGCCGCCTGCGTGACGCTCCCCTGTGGGTGGTGGCGAAAACGCATCGGTAGCATCGGTAATCGTGATCTACGGGGGGGAAATTGCAACGAGGACCTGGGCTACTAGCAGGCAGAAGAAACGTCGTACTGTGTTATAGCAGTCTACGACTGGACCGTAGTCTAAGGCGCACACGATGTTTCCCAGACGATATGACGTCACAATCCAATGCTTTCGCGGCGACAACACGTACGACGTCATAGTCACGAAACCATGAATGGATCACCTCTAATGTCTCCAGGAGAACCTGTGTCGTGCTCGCCCAGCTGCCGAGCTTGTCGATCATGGTTGTCAACTCGTCCACCCGAACGTCCCTAGCCATAGCGTACTTGACCTTGGGCATCGAGACGAGAAAGAGGTCAAACGCGAGCGATGAACGACGAGTACGATGGCAATAAAAAATCCGCATATGCACCAAAAACAACAAAAAAACTGAACAATCTCCTGTGCTCCTGTGTGGCTTTCCTCTTGTGTGACTCCGGCTGATATGTCAGACATATGTACGCCGAAAGGCCTACAGACTGGCGCCAGATTAGATGGGACGAACACACACATACCATGACGACAAGGTCTAACCAAACGACGATGCAGAGAACCAAGTGTCGAATAAAAATTGTTTCATATTAAGATGACGAAACAGAGCTCGTGAAAATACTACAATGACCACGCTATGTACGCTATGACGACATCGCACATCGTAAAGACGAGACCGGTCTGTGGGACGCGTCCGCTGCCCGAGGATAACGCCACAAGCACAACAAGCCCACAGCTGTCTGTGAACATCGATCTGCCTTGCAACTTTTCATTTCCGTTCTGTTGCCCTGATGTACTGAATACGTTGGGGTTGGCACTTGCCGGCCACCCTGTAGCGAACACCGTGTACTCCCTCCATCACCGTTAGGGGTTCGCTGAAAAGAACCGCTACTTCGGGCGGAAGCTCAAAAGCTCGCTTTGTCGCCGGCATTGAGCACAGGCTTGAAGCTAAGCTTTGGAATGGTAGGATTTAGGGTGGGGCAGTTCGCTGCGCTCAACGTCGTTACTAAGTAAACATCGAGCCCCAACTTCTTAAAGCTACTGCTAATAGTATTCTTATAAGCAGGTCTGATGTGTTTCCCACGTTTCCGCCCTGGTCACACACCAGACTGCTCGAGCTCCCTGCCATGAAATCGTCGTCTCGCTAGCGCGTGTGCGGCTGGCAACAACGCCGACACACACGCGCAGCCAAACGATGAGGTCAGGGCAGGGAGCTCAGGCGTCTGGTGTGTGAACAGGGCGAAAACGTGGGAGCACATCAGCGCCCGGCTAATAAAATGCTGCAGCAGTAGCTGCAAGAGTATGAGACTCGAATGTTCGCATAATAACGACTTTGGATTTTGGCACACACGGCCGTGTGCGAAACATTCCCGTCAATGCTCACACCCTCGTGCCACACCACCACAAAACACCACCCTCCGACAAAACCGTGGGCAGCCACTTTTTCTCCCTCGTGATCTGTAGACCACGTACACACACACGTACACCCACGATCGCGTGTCCAACGTAGCAGCAGCCATGGTAAACACGTGCAGTTTTCTTCTTCTGTTTTTTGCTACGGTCTTTAATCCAGAGAGTACCTTAGACTCCCCGATGACACCCGGTCACAGGGTCCCAGATTGTGGCCAATAGAAGGCATTTTGTGTTTTCAACCGCACTAAGACTGACGTATTTTCATTGGTCAGCCAGTTAGTGCGGTCGAAGCTAAGAATAAAAAAAAAAAACACACACACACGCACACACCTTGAGCACCGCTTGTCGCTGGTCAAGCTTGCCCTGCAACAGGCCCGCGTACATGGTGTCGAAGATGACGTCCTCAAGCCGCCTGATGTTGTCTATCCCGAGCGCGGTCTTCATGGCGGCGTACGGGACCAACTTGCTCGTGTGGGCCAGAGAGACCACGCTCAGCATTCGTAGCTTATCCACCTTTTAAAGGTTACAGCCGCCCGGTGGGCAGGGGTACAAAGAGAAAATGGGAAGGGGTTGAGGAATCTTTGTTGAGCCCGGGAAGACGGAAAAGTCGTAGATTCAAGAGAAACCGAAGAAAGAGGGGGTGGGAGGGATTCTACAGGCCATGTAAAAACAAAGGGACAAAGCTAGAAAAGAGGCAAGGGGGGTAACAGATTTTACCGTAGAAATGGGGTACATGCGGATGCAACTTATTCCCCCGGTCCAACACGCCCCAAAAAGCCTCCACGTATATGGTACGGTCATGATGGTAGACTAAAAAAGGCCAGCCAGCAGCAACGACATCTGAAAGACAGCACTACCTAGACACGATAGTAGCGGTGATCCACTCCAAAAATGAAGCTCCTATGTGCACCTGTGCGCCGGTAAGCTTGGGCAATTGGTCTGCCTTGGCCTGCGCGTCGGTGTAGGTACCGTAGGCGAATGTCTCCAGCAGGCGGAGGTGGGGCTCGTGGGGTGTGCCGGCGAGCTTCCACCAACACCAGGTCAGGACACCGCCCAACAAAGCAAGAAACGACAACGACGACGAGTTGGTTCATCAGTATACCCGAAGATGGCTTGCTCATGCGGGGAACTTGCAACTTAGCACTGGGGTTGCGATATCATATATTGAAAGAGGATAAGCAAGCCTGCTGTTGTTGTCCCGGCATGGGTCGTACAACGAGTTACCTGAAGGCAAACGAAGCGACGCATGAATAACCGAGCACGACACCCAAAAGTTCGTGAAGGACGGCACTCTCTTACAACGGGAGCATAAACACATACAAGCATCTAGGGTGCGTGTCAGCTACGAATCGGGCGAGGATCGAAGCACGCAAGGCAGTTCCAAGAGGAGGGGGGGAGACCGGCAAGGTCTTTTCTTCAGAAGGGTCCAAATGAAACTAACCGCCCGGCGGCCACAGCCCGCAACTCGACACCTCGAGTACTGGTTGGAGTGCTCCCACTAGAAAGGAGAAATCTAAAATCTACACACACACGCAGGTTGTCGCTTGAGGCTGGGGGAGGGACGCTTGCCCGGAGTTGCGGGGGGCAATGATGGGTAGGAACGTACGTCTGCACACACGAACCTGCTACATAGATACGCGGAGATGTTTTTTGAAGACTTGTTGGCCAATTATATGGCGACTTCGCTGACTTCCTCTCCAGGACTGTAAAGGCGGAGTGTGCCTTCGCCCGGTCTCTTGCGACGACAACACCTGGTATTTACTGATCACACCCGCTGCGGAGCAACTATACCTGATTGGTCGTATTCTACGCGCTGGACCTTACCGCCTGCACGTTGGGCATCGCCAAGAGCTCCCCGAAGACAAAGAGCTTCTTGTTGGAGAGGACCTGCTGGATCAGCGCCACGCACGCCGCGCCCTTGGCACCCTTTGCCAGCACCAAGAACTGCACCAGCCCTTCCTCCGCCATATTTATCGCTGCTTGTGTGTTTGGTCGGTGTTGCGGACGGCCAACGCGCGCGGGGCGGACCAGAGGGGGATAACGCGGTTAGAACACATAGGTGAAATCCAAGACATGGACATGAACGTGAAATGTGGGAACGAAACCGCTGCGGTTTTTATCCGCAGAGGGCCGTGGATCATGTCCAAGCGGGACGAATATTTATGTACTGCACACGGGGCAAAACATCCTCGCAAAAGAACGCAGTGCTAGGCACTCAGCCCATCGGAAATAAATACCATCGGGTACACCGGTTGCTTCGTCCCTTTTACTCTTGCCATCGTGCAAGCAGCAGCAGCACCACGTATCTACTACATGCACTACGGGGTGCAACACAGAGCACGATGAAGCGGACAGCAGCAGTGTTGAGGCCATGCCAATGGTCTTTCATGGCGATAAGTCTAGCTCCTCTGCAGCAAACGTATCCATGCAGCGATGTTAGGCTGTTGTTTACTGGAGTATTGAACAAGGCTGGTGGGGTCGCTAGGCTGGTGGGGTTGGGATGTACTCGGCTGCGAGCGGTGCTCGACTGCTGTTCGCTGTTCGCTGAGAGAGCCGGTGTCCACGACAGAAAAAGCAAGAGGGGACCCGCAATATCGGCAAGACCCTCCGAGCGAGGTTCGACGAGCCAAACAATCGTCCACTGCACCTCAGGAAGAAATGCAGTGGTGACAACTCTTGGATGGAGGCTGAAGTGAGTCGAGGAGGGTGCTGAGCACCGTGTGGCTAGTCAGGAGTGAGCTCAGAGCTCACGACGACAAACGACGACGCCAGGGGGCGCCTTGAATTGCACTCACAGGGTATGGGAAAACTATTGTATCCCACATGGGGGCCCCCGACCAGCCTGCGAACCTCAGCTCCTGCTTCTCGTTTTGTGCGTCACATATAGCCAGCTGGGAGCAGCAAACGTACGTAGGCACGCGTTCAAGTGCGTGCGAGTGCACAACAACCAGGAGGCAGTGAGCCGATCGAACGAGAACGAAAGGACTCAACACAGAGGCAGAGACCGCGTGCTGTTGACGAGCGCTCGGCACGATGAACATCAACAAGCTCCGGAATAAGGCGGAGGGTCTGGTCACCCAGCTCACGGTGAAGGATGAGTGTGAGAAGAGGGTGCTGGATGCTGTCTCCAACAACAAGGTAACTTAAGGCCGCAATAGCTACATAGCTTTGCTAAATGTAACCTTGATCCCCGCTACCGATGCTCCCTACTGCCGCATGCTGGCTTGCATGTGCTCACACGTTCTGCAACACTGCTGCTGCTCCTCTCCTCTAAAACAGTACGCTGCTCCACGCTCCTTGCTGAACGAGGTGGCCGAGGATACGTTCGCCCACGACAGGTGGGTGTGAACAGCGAATCAAACAAAAGTGCGTGTGGCTGGTGTTGTTTCGGAATGCACCGGAGTCACGGCGTGTGCCTTGTGCGGCGGCGAAATTGCGGGATGAAAGACGATGCGTTATTTGTTATTTGGCCGATACGACAGCCGCCTCTGTGCATGGCACTACTGTATCAGGTACAGCAGTCGGGCAGAGATGTGTAGGCAGTCGGGGTTCGTCTCAGCAGCGAAGCCTTTCTCCTTCCCTATCATGCACAGGCCAATGGCAAGACTTGTGGTGCTCAGGCGCGCAGACCAATGACTGCTGCAATATTTTCTTCCGAAGAAGAATTAGAACCCGATCACCTTCGTAATTGCAGTCCCATGCCCTATAACAAATACCTATGGATATAAACTCCTTTTTTACTTTTTTACGTCTCTGGATCTGCGAGCTATGCTACCAACACGATGCTCATCCACGGCCGGAGGTGTCCCAGGATCCCCGGTGGTACCTTGCCTGTGTTCCGTACGACCTGAACTGCATGCCGGATCCTTGGATCCTCAGGGGGGGGGGGGGACGCACAGCATAAGACTCAAATCAACACGTTTGTTTGTCCGCACGTCCGCGCTCCGCGACAGACACACAGCGACACATTGACCAAGTGCCACACTGCTGTGTGCAGAGTAGAACACGGTTTGCATGTATCGTAGCTGGAAACTTGGTTGCGTTGTCGCATGGATTGCCCTGGTTCCCAGTCCACCGGTGAAAGTTTTTTGTTCCTCCCAAGGTATGACTCAGTCGATCCCTTGGATGCGGCTGCAGTATGTGTGTGTTGGGAGCACGCCTCGTGAGAAAGCCAACCGGTTTGTAGAAGAGTGTACATCAGGGAAAGGCGCCGACCGCTCTGCCATCGGACCTCTGCAGTGTGTTCATGATGGAGCGGGTCCATATCCCCGAGAAAGCAACCGGAGTAACTGGGTGCGACGTGCCCAATGTTCTATGCACACGAGCGGTACCTGGGCGCTGACAAACGCCCTAACGCCTCCTGTTCGTTTTGTCACTACTCGGTCGAGCAGATACGGCACGGTAATGCGGTTGGTGTGGAAAACTATCGACTCGCCACCGCGGAACTGGCGGTCCATCTCGAAGGCGCTGGTTCTGGTGGATCACCTCGTCAAGCACGGCGCGGAAAGGGTAGTGGCCGACGTGCAACAGCACGTTCACGAGATCGCTTGCCTCAACGAGTTCAGATACGTTGAGAATATGTACGACACGGGTGGCGGTGGTAAGTACCGTCGCTAGCGGTGTTGGTGGCGTCAAAAAGTGTGTTGCCGTACGTGCATGTGGGCTACGTGTGCGTTCTGTTCAGACGGCTGTTGAAGTTTGTTTTGGTGTCGGTTCTGCCATTGCTGCTGGCGTTCTTCTCTTGCTGATGTTGTCGCTCCTGTATGCTCTACGGGCATCGTGCGTCGTGTGTATCTCACAAACGTTCCTTTGTTGCGAAACAGCACAGCGGTACGCCGCCGCTTCGTGCCCGTGAACACGCTCTTCATCAACCGCAACGACTTCTTAGAACCCCCGAAGGGTCCCTTTTGTTTCCAACGATATCGTCCCGCCTCTCTTCGCCTGCCGCCGTGCTGCCCAACACTTGCCTCGGTTGTGTTATTCGCCAACGACGTAATTCCACAACAATCAGTTCGCGAGAAGGCCCGGGAGCTGGTGAGTCTGATGGACAATCCCGATCTAATCCAGGCCCAGCGTCGCAATGCTAGAGACCTGAAATCCCAGTACAACGGCTACGGGGGCGACATGCCACCAAGGCTATCTGGCGGCAGCGGAGGCGGTTCACGTCACCCCCACGACTCATCCGGGGGCGGCGGCGGCAGCGGCAGAAACAGCGGCGAAATTAGTGACGATTGGAGGGCTGGGTACGACCGCAGTCCGACGCCTCCGCAGATCGACGCGAGGAGGGCTGTTGGCGGCAGGTCGGAGTCGATCGACTTCGACGAGGGTAGGGAAGGGTACAGCGGAAGGCTTAGCCGGTTCCAGGAGCAGGAGAAGAGGGAGGCAAAACTGGTGTCGGGGGGGCGCAGGTTCGTTTTGTGTGTTGGGGTGTTTGAGTTTGCTGCTGGTGTTTCTTGGGTAACGTCGTGCGTGGTGTTGCTTCGTGGTGTGTTCGGAGTCGATGTCGTTTTTCTTGCCGTAGTGGTTATATGTGCAGTTGTTATTGAACCGCAAGTATGATGCCAAGGGGTACTGGCCTGCGTGATTGTTGGTTCTTCATCGTCGCTTATTCCCGATTAGTGGTTGCGCCTACTGGGTGAGAGTGCTGGCCCCGTACATTGTGGTACAACTCGTACAGCGAACGAAGTCATCCGTAGATAGCAGTATCGGCGAGAGCACTACGAATATATCCAACCCTCTTCAACAAAATATGGACAAAACGCGCTTTCGTTTTTTTTCGATAGCGTACACCCCGCGAACTTGCACCGCCCTCTGTCTACTGGCGGAAAGCTAAGGGGGGCGTTAAGATCTGCTCCAGAATCGTGCAGCGTCCCCCTCTGTCCTTCCATCATCCATGCATGACAGGCACAACCCATCCCCCTCTTGCCTCACCAATCGACCCCCCTCCCCGTCCTCAGGGGCAGCCGGGACAGCGCCGAAGGCGCTAGCTCAACCGCACCAAGAGCAGGCGGTGCTGGCGGCAAGGGTGCCTCAGCGTCCAAGAAACGCACGGACGGCAAGAAGCAGTCGTCGGGGCCGGATCTACTGTCCGGGGATGATCCGTTCCCGGTAACGGCGCCGTCGCAGCCGCAGAACGATTTCTCGTCGTTCGGCTCCTTTGCTGCGGCGCCGCAGGCCTTCCAGGGCGGCGCGCCTGTGGCACCGGGTGCTTGGAATGGGGGAGCGGGCGTGCCGCCGCAACAGCAGCAGTACCAACAGCAGCAGCAGCAGCAGCAGCAGCTGGCTCCAGGTTCACAAGCGGGACAAATGGTTCCGTATGGGCAAGCGGGTCCTGTGCCACAGAACCAGCAGCAGCCCGGGATGCAGGTTCAGGGCCAGACCGGCTGGGGTCAGCAGACATTGCAAGGGCAGCAAGGGATGCAGCAGCAGGGGATGCAGCAGCAGGGCGGGTACAGCCAAGGTCCGGGTGCACAGTTCCCCGGGCAGCAGGGAGTGCAACAGCAGCAGTATGGTCAGTTGCAACAGCAGATGCAGCCCCAGCCACCACAGCAGCAGATGTATCAGCAGTACCAGGTGGGTCGGATCTTGTCCAATGGGTTGAGGTTGGTGTGATGCAGGCTCAGCTTTTTTTTTTTGTCGTGTTTGCACAGCCTAGGAGCCTTGTTACTGCGTTTGACGAGTTCAACTTTGGCTTGTTGCATGGCTCTCTGGCAAGATGTTTGGTATGCTTTCTTTCTCGCCTTCGCCTTTCGTCCGCACTTATGATTCTTGCAAGCGATGAGTGAGCCGACCTTTAACAGACCTGCGATGGTCGCAACCAGAATAGATTGCATCAAAGTGTGGTTCGGAGTTCAGCCGCTGCTCCACGTGCATGTACAAGTACGAAATGTGAAAATATCACAACGCCACAGACACAGCATCGTATTGTCCAAGGTTGACGTAAAAGAGGTCAATTCGTTGCCAACGGTAAGCTTATCGCAAGCTTGTCCGCGTCCTTGACATTTTTCCGCATCGCATGTCCATGCAACCCCGTTTCCCGTTCCGTTCGGCGCGTAATGTAGCAGCAACAGCAGCAGCAGCCGATCCAGCCTCAACAGGCATACCAGCCTCAACAACAGCAGCCGTACCAACAGCCGCAGCCGTATCAGCAGCAGCAGCAGCAACCTTACCAACAGGCAATGCTTCCGTCGCAACAACAGCAGTTCTTGCAGCAGCAGCAGCAGCAGCAACAACAACCCCAGCAGCAGCAGCAGCAGCAGCAGCCGCAGCAGCAGCAAGCATGGCAGCCGACCCCACAAGCACAGCAACCGCCGCAGCCTCCTGCCCAGGCCCAGCAGCCACAACTTCCTCCGCAGGAGCAGCCCTCACAACTACACCAGCAACAACAGCCTCCTGGCCATGTCCAACTGTCGTCACGGCAGCCCCCTCCTCCTCAGGCTCAGCAGCCGCAAGCTGTTGCTCCGCAAGCTGCTGCTCAGCAATCCAGCCAACCCCAGCCGCCGGTACACGAACCTTCAGGCCCAGGAAGCTCCCAGCACGAGACCTCTACTACTACTACTCCCTCTGCCGACAATGATTGGGTGGCGACAGAGGTGGTGAGGGCCGGCATCGGCGGGATCGACCTAGCCGCAGCGGTGGGAGGGCTCCGGCAGACCGGGTTCAAGCCGTCGGACATCGGGGGCAAGACGGAGTTCTCGGGCCAGGGGCAGCGGGGCAGCGACGGCAGGCACGTGGCGGCGCCGCCGCTGACCCAGCAGCAGCAGCGCACGGCACACCTTGCTCCCCCCCAGCCGTCGGTGGAGTACGTCGAGGAAGGGCAGGAGGAGGAGGTCGTAGTCCGCGCCAGCACGAGGGAGTTCTTGGGAGCTCGCTCGGGGCTTAACAAGACGGGGCTGAGCGGCCGACTGCAGGAGACGCCGCAAGAACCACCGCAGCCGCAGCCGCAGCCGCAGCAGCAGCAGCAGCAGCAGCAGCAGCAGCAGGCCCCGACCCTGGGGGCCGCATCGACGACACCCTCTTACCAAGGAACCCCGCAGGCAGGGCAGTGGCAGGGGTGGCCGCAGCAGGAGCAGAGGCAAGGTGGAGGTGCAGGCGGGGGGCAGCCTCCCAGCTGGCAGACCCGCCAGGGAGGGCTGAAGAGCACGGGGCTTATGGCAGGCGGCGGTAGTGGTGCGGCACAACCGGGGGCTTCGGGTCAACAGGAATCCGCGCCCTGGCAGCAGGGTGCGGCGGGTTTGAGGCGGACGGGTTTGTAGCCTCGTGGAAGTGGCAGGCCTACACGCGTTACCATGGGTCACCGTGCCAATGCGTGTGATGGCACGCATCGGCGTTTTGCACCCCTCGGAGCCTTGACACTGGGGTGCGATAGACAGTGATTCCGCAACGGTATCGGTGTTTTCGTACCTTTGGTGTGCCTACCTCGGTGCGATACCACCGGTAAAACCCTGCTTCGGAGAAATCGCACCCTTATGAAAATCCCGCTTCGGTCGGAAGTATTTTGCGGTTGAAATGGTGAGTCTTTTGCAGCAGGCCTTGCTGCAGGCGGGATAGGACTGGATGTTAGAAAAGGTTGGAAGGGGGGGGGCTTTCCGAAAGCTAATAGGTTGTTCGGGGGTGTTGTGTGTCGAACGCAAGTTGGGTAGGAAAACCAGGAAGCATTCGGAATTTTGAAAAGTGACGGGTGACAAAGGGGGGGTCCGCCCTCCATTGTCGAGCGTCGCTTCCTTGTGAGAACGTTGTTGCCCTTGCTGTTTTTGGATGGTTTTGCATTGTCACCTGTCGGCACGCCTGCTAAGTAGTGACGTAAATTTTTTATTAGGCCACCCGCTGCTTGAAGAGTTGCTTTGTTTCGAGTGGGATTGGATAGTGTCTAGGGAGGTCTCCTGCAATCGTTTGTCCATGTTTTTGCGTAACCGCGATCGATAGTCTCGTCCGTTGTCCACACAAAGTCTCACGTGGCTTCTCCAGAGGTTGCAGACCTGATCTGCAACCATGAGCATAGCGTTGTAAGGTTGTACAGCAGTACCATAGCGATGTTTTTTATGGATGCCGGTACGATAGTTTTGCCTGCTTGGCTGCCTGTTTGTGTAGAAGGGATGGAATCCTCCACCCCCCACGAAGTTATCAATTTCCAGCCCGACTTGGCAGCACTGCTCAATGAGCGTGCTCACAAACTCGTGGTTGATGGTTGTTGAGGGTTGGGTGTAATACGCCGGCATGTTCATCGCGTCTGTGAGTTGGCGCCAGGACAGCCAGGAAGGGAGACGGCTCTAGCTGTGCCTATGTTGGAGAGGCAGAGGGTACTACTCTGTTGGTGTTTGTCATGAGAAGGCCGGTGATAGGCGTGTGATCAAGAGGGCGACTGCTGTGTGTTCATTGACTTCTGTTGTTCGTGCATGCTGCCGTGCCGCGTCAAAGCTCCCCGCGCCAACCATACGTGGACGAGGATATAAGCACCAAAAACTAACAACTATTATGCACAGGCGAGCCGAGCTTATCGTTATTTCATTTACAATCGATTGTAGGTGGGTTTAGGACGTTAGGACTGCAACAAACACCCTCGGGTAGACCGTGGAAATCGGCAGATCTCCAGAATATTGGGTCCCGTCGATACACGAAACGTGCTTCGCGGAAGCCTGCTGACAAGGAAGTGTACTTATTTATGGACACAGCTAACGGCGAAAAAATTTCTTGCGCTTGTTGCGGGCACAACAGATTAATGTGCGCCAGGTCATCCGGACTGTCGTTGCGGTCATTTTTGTTGTTGCTATTATGCTTGTCTTCACATTACAAATCACACCATTCGAACCTACAAACATCCATCAGTGGTGTACCTCCTGGTTCCCTAAACTGCGCACAAATGAATGAGGTGCCGTGATTAGTTTTTAGCTCGAAAAAAAATAATGGCCCGAAAGGTGCACCACGATGCCGGTGAAGCACGACTAATAAACAAACAAGGTCGGATATACCCGCAAATTCAGGTATGTATGCTGCTACATGTATCACGGTGAGATCTCTGTCGGGAAAATCACCAACAACCACACAAAGAAACAACCCGCCCACACACACACCAAAAACTTAGCATTTGCACTTTTCCGGCCACACGCACGGCCCCTACAACCTATAGCACTCTTAATTGTAGTGTACATGCAGGTGACACGGGGTCAAACACTGGGTTTGCACTCGAGACTCGAGAGCAGTATGCATACATGTAATATGCAATATATGGAACAATGGAACGAACTTTCGGTGGTACATACATGGAAAACGCCTCCCTCGTGAAACCAAGCGGGGTTGTTTGACAACACAGTTGACAGTCCCGTTTCTAGAAGACGGCAAGATACGAAAGAGCCAGCTTTCGGATTCCAGAAAAGCCAGCGAGAATAAGACTTCTGTCTCGCCACCCCGCTCTCCCCACCGCCACCTCAATCACAAAGCAGAGAACGACCGATCAACTCTCAAGAAGTCACAAGCAAACAGCGACACCGAAAGAGATCGGGACCAAGGACCAGCGACAAAAAAATCTGTACCCAAGGGCAAGCCAACGCATCATGAGCCTCACCAACAACAACGCAGCGACGTCATCGGGGCGCTCGAGGTAAGTCTTGGTTGCAGTAGCGACGAGTGGCCTGTCTATGAGCATGACGCTCAAGTCGCATACCAGCGACACTAACTGCCTGCACAACACCTCGATCTCCACGAGAGAGAACATACTCTAGACAACTTGTTTCGGGGCCCGAACCAGCTTGCTTGGCGCAAAGTGACGAAGTATCATTGTCCGTGTGGCAAGAGCAGTGTATCGGTCCATGGCGCCTCGAAGTGTGTTGAAGGTCCGAGGAAGAATGCGTGTTCCCAACGAAACAGCTCGTAGTCGAAGCAGACTAGAGTAGTGTGCGCAGGGCCGATCGAGCAGGAAGCCTGCGCTGATTTCGTTGCGGTGAAGCTTTCAGTCATCACACCGTCCCAACTTGACAACGCATCCACGTCAAAACTCCCTGCGAACGTCGTCCTCAGGCAAGCAACGCTTTCTTTATAAGAAAGTTGTGCACACACAAAGAGAGAGCGGGTCTGTAGCTTGCTGAAACGTTGGTCAAGGCAAGACGACTGAACAAAACCAACGTCTGTGTGCCGCGGCACGTGTGTGTGCGTTATCTATGTAGTCTATGTATGTACAGCAGCAGTGCATTGTAGACCCCACGATCTGCATGGACAAAACTTTAACATTTGTCGTTGAAGATAGTCATCCTCCTGTTGAAGATAGTCATCCGCCTTGGTGTGCAACGCATATACAAGCGAAGAGAGCGGGTTAGTGTTGCTGAACCTCCCGGTAACCCTATGACAGACACACAGGAGGTCAATGCTGATACACGGTTTTCATTTGGTGGAAACAATAATGTCAGAATAATAGTAGCAGCGCTGCAATGAAACAAACACTCGATCGATTGCGGTTCTTCTATGTAAACGCACTGCTTCGGTTCATCTCGTGTGCATCTTGGTTTCCCCTCTGATCTCGATCAAGCTCGCAGGCGCCAGGCAGCTTTTTGTAGCCTTGTTTTCGCGCTGTCCGCTTGCCCATGGTATAAGTCGACGCGTTGCGCGACATTCTGCACTTTGCTTTTTGAACTCGAAATCCCTCTCTCTGTGTGCAACGCATCCAGCACCAAGGGAGCCATTGAAGGGAAGTAGCGTGTCCTCTTTATGAACAGCCACAAGAGATACTCGATGCTCCGTGAACACAGGAAGTCCCGACCCCCACTCCCCTTCACGGCCGCAAACAGCTCTTCTCACCATATGCTGCTCGTGCGCATGACGAAACACCAGGCCCACCACCATCAACGATGTCTTCGGTTCGATCGAACGGGAGATGCTCGCCCCCTGGGGGCTCGCCTCCCGGTTCCCCACGACGAGGGACATGTTTCCTACCTTCCCCACCAGCCTCTTTGGAGATGGCAGCAGGTCCCTCGGCATGAGCCTGGATTTCCACGAGACAAAAGATGGGTTCGAGCTGATTGCCGACCTTCCCGGGATGAAGAAAGAGGACGTCTCCATCGATGTTGACCAGGAATCCGGCGTACTGACGGTGTCGGGCGAGCGTAAGAGCGAGAAGGAGGAGAAGGGCGACGGCAAGGACGGCGACAGGAAGTGAGTGACCCGGACACCAGGTTCTTGGACTCCCGTTCGCGTATGTAACGTCCTTTGTGGTCCTATCGTCTCTAGGCTTGTCCGGATCATCTAGCTTGGTGTTCCTCTAGGCGTTTGATGCAATTTTGTTGAAGCTATGCCAAGTAGGTGGTGTGATAGAGGACATGTATAAGCAGTTGGTTTCGATCCGTGGTCACGAATAACACAGAATAAAATTGCGGGGCAGTCATGGGCTGCTTCAAGCTTCTTTCCGGTCGGCATGAAAGTCGTCTATTGCCTACGGTAGCCAAGATCCCTCTTCCTGATGACACTCCATGACGATTTCCGAACGACCGAATCCCCCGCAATCAACAAGCAAATCGACCGGCCTCGATCATGTACCCGCTAAAACACGCTTCCCGGGCTTCGTTTTTCTCTTTCGCTAGATCTGTAACTCTTGGCACCCACCCCCGTCTGAATCGTCCGCTGCGTCTCTCTCGAATGAAAAAACGAACTTGTCCAACATCACAGGTATCACTTTGTCGAGCGTTCCTACGGCAAGACTTCCCGGTCTGTCCGCCTCCCGGAGGCAGCGGACACCGCCACCGCCAACGCCGACCTCACCGACGGCGTCCTGACCATTACCTTCCCTAAGAAGGAGGCCCCCGTCTCCAGCCGCTTCCGGATCCCGTTGGGCGGCGGCGGCGGCGTCGGGGGCGGGTCTGGCGACGGCAAGGTTTCCATCAAAGGGGGCGCTGCTGCTACCGACGGCGACACTGGGTCCTAAGGGTACTACGCTGAGTGACCTGGGGGCAACCCGGTAGTGATGAGAGTTGTCGCCCTCTGAGAGGGGTGGGTACGTGAATGCTCGTTGTGCGGAAAGGTGTAGAGGAGTGCAATATATGGTGTAGTAGAGGACTGTAGAGAGGAGCAGAGAAAGGGCGATAGAGAAGCAGTGGTTCACGCTTTGACTTAAGCGTACAGACCCACGTAGAGCTTCATGCCCTCGTGCTTTCGAACAACAAAGTAGCGAAAATCAGTTTGGGTTTTGGTGCGTCTTCGCGACGCGGATGGGTCTATTGCGTGTTTGGGGAAAGGACGACGACGTGTAGTCAGATGAGGGACAGACGAAAGTGCGTTGTTGTTGGTTGGCCGCACAAACGACTGGAGAAGTAGAGTGACGAACGGGCGGGCGGGCGGGGGGGGCGATGAGAGCCTTCACCCCCCTGCAGCTTGTTTGCTCCGCGGGTTTGTTTGCTGTTCCAAGCCGAAAAATAAGTCATAATTAATCATTTCCACGATTGGTGCTATGGCGTGGCCATGCTGAGGAGGGAGTCCGCGAGCACCCTGCCTGAGGGTGCTCCACTTGAACTTGGTGCCTCTGACCGTTACATGGTTGCGGCCGGTGCTACCCAAGCTTCACCCTAGGGACTTCGACATGCCATGTACCATCTAGCCCTGTCCCGGGTGGGTACTCTTCCTCGTTGGATGTAGCATACTCGTATCTTCTGAAAACACATGTTGATGTTGACCCGAACACAAGAATTTTCCCAAGGTAGCGTGATCACACGTCGAGGAATCGACTTTCGGCCTCTTTCGGACAGCGTCGAGGCCATCTTGACGCTCGTGTTTCGATGACACCAACACTATCCAGCCGTGGCCGCCGTAAGCCCCTAAAACGCCACCACCATACACACTATCTTATATCGGCCGAGACGTTGGTGCTTTGCCTGTGCAACAACTATTCCTGCTTCTTTGGCCAGCAGAGAAAAACTATACAGGCATCGAAAATGAGGCCGCTTGGTGCAAGGGCAAGCATAACTTGGCATCATCAAAGCTGTGGCAGGGAAACGGCACCCAAATCCCCGGCATCTGCAAGCCATACGAACTTCCTTGATGAATACAAGGTGTACCCGATCGTCACGGGAAAACACGGCTACACAAGCTTCATGATCGGTCTCCGCAGCCGGCGCCATAAGCGTAAATTTCATTTTGCGAAGTTTCCTGCCTGACGAGCTCTATTCCTTGCGTCAGTATGGATGAACGGCATGCGAGACCCGCTGGTTAAGGGTGATCCCCCGTTTCGAAAAGCTAACACTACCCGTCTGCTGTGTTCCTACCCTAGCCATCTCTTGTACGTCGAAATGAAAATGAAAGAAACTACAACGTCCGTTGGGACAGCAAGTCCATCTGACCCTTTTGCTACACGAGGCACCGTACTGGTACAAACCATGAACGCATCAACGATAGGCGGTAGAAAAACGTGCGCAGCAGCAACTTGTACACTTACATTGGCTATCGTTACCTGAGGCAATAGCAGGAAATGAAAAAAAACTACGACAATGGATACACCACTTCCCCGCATTCCAGACACGCAACTAGCTGTTTCCTATAGCGAACCGTGATCATCTTCGAAACACGCTTCGTACAATAACGCATTCAGCCCGCACAAGAGAAGATGAAGCCGTGCCCTGTACTTGCAACTCTCTTCGACATCTGAAACGGGAGACCAACAAACACTCCACCAATGTCCGATCCGCCACACGAGCACGCACGCTTAGCAGGTCCAACGGTAGCAGCAGCAAACCAGCAAACCTCCCTCTCGCTTCGTCCATGCCCGAAACCAAAAGCAGCAGCAGCAGCAGCAGCAGCAGCAGCACAACTACCCCCCCCCCCCCCCCCGAGCACACGCTGGTACAGAGCGGAGCATTCCCTCACTCCCCTGGCCACCGCCTTTATCTCTCTCTCTCTCTCTCTCTCTCTCTCTCTCTCTCTCTCTTCCCGCCGTCTCGGCACCACGCCAGGCCACCACTCCGTTACATGAGGCCTTGGCGGGCCAAGTCCTCGTAGGTGCGTCTGTTGAGAACGTTGCCCTCCCCGTCTTCGTACTCCTCGTTGTCTTCGGGGTTCCACTGCTCCTTGTCCAACGAGTCTTTGATCTTGGCATAGAGGTCTCGGGCGTCCTGCATGACCAGCAGAGAGAAGCAATCGTCGAGAGAACAACGTTGTTTATTTGTAGCCATCTTTGCTTGGAGGGGTCAAAACGTTATCGCTGCAGTGATCTATTGGGGGGTTGGTGAGTCTGTGAATTCTTGACCACCAGACACCCCAAGCTGCCCACACTGATACACGAAACCGTCAACGTTTCCATGTCTAGTTTCCAAAGAGTGACGCCACAAGTGCTGCTGTTCACCGCAACACTGCGTTCCAATGTTGCCATCATCAAGGTGCCGTGATTGAGTCGAACATGACCAGCATCGTTCACGTGCAACACACACCGCACATCAGAAGAGCTGGTAGATATCTTTACCAATTGTTGCTGGCAGATATCTCTACCAAATAATTGTTCTGCCTGCCGCCCCACCTGGATAAGGACGATGTCGTGGAAGTGCTTCGTATTCGGGATGCCCAAGCATCGCATGCCGTGCGCGTGACGCCATTCTTGGAAGTGCCGGTCAAAATTCCTGCGGCAGCAGCAACGACAGCACCACAAGCAAAAAAAAAAGGCACACACACAAACACACAGACACACACACGCACACAGCGCGCGGCGAAGACAAAAATTAAACATGTGCTCGATAAGAGCCGAAACAAAGGTATAAACCAGAAGGGGGAAACATAAATGTATCGGTGTGGGTGAGGATATCGTTCGAAGCAGCTCGATTGCGCCGGTCGAAACAACAGCGGCAGCACAACGTCCGACAAGAGATAAACACAGCTCCACGACAAGCACGGGAGAGAAGAACGGAGCAGGCACGAATTTGCGGACTATCTTTGAACGGTTTCATCAAGACTATTGGCATGCATACAACAGCCGGAGCTTGCACTTCCTCCGGCTCTCATCTTCACTACGTGGATGAAAGAGCACAGCACCTATGGCGGCTGGGAAGCCCTCACAATATTCGTGAGGACATGGCCACGAAGATTACAAAAACAACCAGCAACACACACAGATCATGGCCTTGAGCCCGTTCTTTGCCGATAAGACTGGCGTATTTTCATTGATCGGATGCTAATAACTAACACACACATACCTCCGACCCTTGTAGCTGAAATCGCCGCAGATCTCGCACTTGAACTCTACCCCGAGCCCGTGCAGCTTGTAGAGCCAGTACGGAATAGGTTTTCCATCCCACCCGAGCGGGAGATTGAGGGGGTTGTAGATGGGCCCTTCCTCATCGCTCTCCTCTTCTTCCTCCTGGTGATTCGGTAGGTTAAGTTACAAGTTTCGGTAGGTTAGGTTACAAGTAAAGGCCATAGGTCATTTCTGATCGGATAGATAGCTCGGGACTGGGGTTGATTTGATTGGCCTAGTCGAGTGACGTCATCGGTCGCTTCGGTTGGGCCGTATCGGTTGGATGGTTGGATGTGGGCCCATCGCCCCTTTGATCTGACAGACATACGAATGGATCTCTGAGAACTAACGTATTTTCGACAGACACATGTAGAGCAGAAGTTGGCACTAGAACGGCCAGTATTGCGAATACAACTCCAACAACGACGATGACAACCCAAGACATGACTACATGTGGGCACCGACCTCGTTGAACTCCGGGAGAGCTCCTTGCTCCTCCTCTTGGATCTCCTGGTCGCGCTCCTCTACCGTCCTAGTGTGCTTCTTGTCCACCTGCCGCTTCGTCGACTCTAGTGTGTCCGTCTGTACCTCTAGAAGCGCTTTCACCTTTTTGACACCATGGCCAGAGCCAATAACAGGCGTGAAGGCAAAAAAAAAAGGGGGGAAGATGGTCACCAGCATTTCGGTTGTTGTCGGCGCCTACATCACCAACAGCAACGGTGGATATGGATGAACCACAACAACCAAGGTCATCAACTCGTCTGATTTTTTCCATTGCTCCTGGCTGCCTCCACTGCTTGTGGGAGCCACGGGACTGTCAGCTTCCGGTGGGGGTGGACACCCCACTTCCTCTGCCACCACCACCGTTGTTCGACGGGATGTGGATGAACCACAACAACCAAGGTCATGGGTTCATCAAGAGCTAGAAATGGAAATCTTGTACTGCTGTTCTTCATAAATTACAACTGCTGTTCCTCATAACCTGCCGGCATTCTTGCTAGTTTGAGGCTTCATGGACTCCACCGTACACAAAGAAGGGATGTCATTGGCTCTCTCTGCGTGCCGCATCGCACCGTCGACAACCATTCCCCAATCTTGTTTTCACTGCCGCGTGTGCTTTGGCCTTGAATGCGGGCCACCGGAACAACCCCTAATAGCACAACCCACAAGAAACTCTCAAACGGCCTCCATCGTACCACACAGCGTGCCCGACTACAAGTGATCTCAAGCTCCACCAAACCTTTCAAGACATTCCCAAACATAAACCCAAACCAATTGATCCCGGCATGAAACTCTCGGGTCACCTTTGTCTCTAGAGCAGCGAGCTGTTTGCGCCGCTCCTCCTTCCCGCCGCCCCTCCCCCCCCCCCCCCCAGCGGGGCCATTCGCGTTTGGGTCCGCACCGTGGCCCGGCGCCACTCCGTTGCTCACGCCCTTCCCCTCCTTTTTCCCCTTCGCCTGGGAAAAAATCACCACAACCAAAAAGGAGAAGGGATCGTAAGTACAGGGGAACGTTTCAGTGGAAGGATGAGCCAGCGGTTGGCCTAGTATCTTGCTGTTCCTCTGCTGCCGGTCGTAACACAAGCATCAACATCCATGTGGCGACAACCAAAAAAAAAATCCTCAGCGGGTCTAGCGGTTCATGGTTCTGTGGTGTCATGACCGCGAATTATTGGCGTTGTCAGGTGGAGAGAACAACGTGATGACCCCACGGCTGAATACCAATTTCGAGGAACTGGAATCCATGCATGGCAGGCAAGCGGTGCTGCCCCAAAGAAAATAAATGGGCTGTTTGAAAAATCGAATTCCCCTTATATAAGCCAGAGGGGTTTACAATTGACCATATGTCAAAGACAAGATTTTTCATCAAGTGTGTACACTAGTTTGCTGTCTTGAGGTACAGTACCTTGAGTTTCTGGTCGATCTCCTCCGGCTTTTTCCCCTTCACAGAAAAGAGCCGATCCGCTCTCTGCTCCAGGGTACCGCCGCACTTGAGTCCGATGGCTTGAAGAGCTTCCTTCAGGCGGTCCATGCCCAAAGCGCGCAGCTCGTCCGCGTCGTGGAACCTGATACGCATACAAGAAGACGACCACAGCACCGGGCACACGCGTGCATCGCTCATGTTAAGGCCTCCTCAGCACAACGGTTGGTGATTCAAAATTCCCACCCTCCAATCGATCGCTTCAAGTGTTAGATCAGTGTACAGAAAGAGGGAGGCACTGGGTAGAGAAATCGGAATGGTTTTTAACGTGAAGACAACAACAATAACAATAACATTCCTTCACAAGTCGCTCAGAACCACCCACAGCTGTCGCGTTATGAGCACGGCAGCACCGTTCTTGGGAGAAAAGAACACCGTGCCACAATGGCGACCTCATGCGGGCACACCATACACCCTGCGAACACGGCACGTCAGCGGATCAAACTTGCGGTGATTGGTGGCGATCACTGCCCACGACACCAACGGGCACACCAATGCAAATACCCAACCTAGACTTCATTTGTGTCGTCGGTAACTACCTACCCGCGTACCGACGGGCACTTGGCGAGTTATCGACAACAACCCCGTGATGTCATCACTCCCATCAACAACAACAACATGGCTGTGCGTGTCAACACACAACGCCATCCAACAGCAACAGAACCATTCAACACTGCCCCAAAACACCACCTACGCACAAACCACCACCAGCAGTGCCTGCCCCCACAGCTCACTTTTTCAAGTCCAGCACCCGCGGGGCCGCCGCGCCGCCTTTCCCCGCTGCTGCTGCTGCTGCTGCCGCCGCCGCCGCTCGCCCAGACGTCCACCCCGGCAACGTCCCCGCCTCCCAGGCCTCCTCGAAAGAGCTGTCCGTGTCACCCAGCACCTAAAATGAATACATAGAAGCAAGAGAGACGTGCGAAAAGCGGCGCGCAATGGAATAAATAACGCTAGAGCCGTCAGCGTAGTCCAAAACCCAAGACGATAAAAACGGTTCGACGTAAGGAAATGAGGCCACGGTAAGAACAAAGGAAGCGAGGTCGGCAAAAATAGACACCGATAAGCGCCAAATACAGCAGTTAGGTGAAGCGAACCAACGTTCTACCCGAAGAACAAAAACACAGAAGCATCGAAAATTGGACCGCAATAGGAAGCTGAAAAAAATAATGAGCAGCAAACGTGAATTGACATCGAAAACTGAGACAGCAAACATGAAACCGAAATATATTATGTCTAGTCAAAAATGTGAAAAAAAAACTCAATTCAAGTCACTGCTTCCTCTCACCTCGTCGAGGTCGACGAGAGGCTGTGTGCGAGTGAGGAAGCCGCCCAGGTACTCCCTCAGGTCCGCCAAGAAACCCGCGTAGGCCTTCCCGCGAAGCTGTCCGGGCGAGAAGAGCAAAAGGGGGGTCAGAACGAGCACGGCAAGGTGTCGGGTGTTGGGACTGCTGCTTCGTTGCAGAACTCGGGGACGGAAGACAGTAGCAATGCACCATCGCGATCAATGACGCAGCAAGCAGAGAGAACCGCCTCAGCAATGAAACCTAACAATGAGGACACTGGCAAGCACAATCGGTACGCAAAACAGAAATGCCGACGACGAAAGAGAAGCATGGAGAGGGGGAGAGACCGGCTCGCCTTCGATTTTCCACGGTTTGGGCCCGCTAGCCCCTCGAAACCCGCAACGAAAACTGTACCTCTTCTGCTCCAGAAATGTTGTTGAAAACTCTCCTACCTCGACGAAAAAATAAGGTCATTCCATCAGGTTCACGTCAACATACCAACCAAACACAAGAGAAACACTGGGGCATGGTGTACGCTGAAGCCAATCTTCCGTCCCTCCCGTTTTGCACGCCAACGGCGCAACGACCTTGAGTATTTCCTCTTGCAACACCACGGCAAGCGGCTAGCTTAACCGCACCTTTTCTTGCTCCGGGATGTCCTCGAACCTTCCCAAGGCCTGTAGGAACTGCGAGTAGTCCAGCTGCTTGTCCTTGCACTGAGGAAGGTTGACCCACCGAACGAACATGCCGTGCAGGTCGAAGAACTACACGCCGCCAACACCACAACGACAACGACGACGACGACGATGAAGGCAGAATTAAATCAAAAGAGGCAGGCGGTGCGTGCAGGAATGTCGTGAGAATGGCATTGATCGATAGCATCTTCACGGCCATATGCACACAACCTCGACAATAAACACAACATGGCACAGATTGTAGCACCACAGAGCTCACCATCGCCGCCACCCTTATCCTTGCCTCCTGATTATCACGTGTACACAAGCAGAGGAGACGGTACACCTCCCCCCCTCCCAAGCACGCCGGCACTCGCGCAGCAGCAGCAGTGTCTCACCTTGCCGTAGAGCTCTTCTCCGGAGAACTGCACTTTCACCTCCGTCTCTGCCTCCAAGTTCGGTCCGAATGTCACCTAAGGGCAAGCATTAAAGCAATCAAGCAGCCACCACAGCCACCGTCAAAACGCACGCGACAACGAAACAAGTTTGGCGGAGTCGGCACTCTTGACTGTGAACCAAAGCCAGCCAGCGCCCGTAAAACAAGCCGGAGTCAGGCCGACCGCTCTACAGCGCAATGGGACAGGTGTGAAGTTCTATTTAGTGCGCGGGAAGCGTTGGGCATGCGCTCTGAACAGGGGGATGCAGCAAAGATAAACCCTTTGCGAAAGTCTGTCCACACCGAGAAGATTTCTGCAGCAACACGAAAGGCCAGACATTATTTCCTCGAAAAATGCTTGGCTTCCGGTTAAAACAAACATGCCACAAACGGGTACACACAAAATGCCGCAAAGCGCTCCTCTCGACGAAAACTCTCCAGTGAAGGCGTTCTCCTTTCCGGGCTCTCACCGGCAGTCCCGGATGGTGCGTGTGGTAGCTCCAAGTCTCCTTCAACCGGTCATAGAAGGTATCCATTACTTTCTGGCCCCTCATTGACGCCACCTGTTGCCCAGAAAGCGTGCACCGTGTGGAGAGTAAGCCACAGGCGCGCATAGCAGGCGTGGAATGGGCCACAGCGCAAGGACTGCTTGTGTTGACGAGAAACGATGAAGATCGCGCTTGGGCGCTAGTATCGGGACAGAGGGTGGATTGCACCATGCTCCTAAGGGCAGAAGACATGCTTGTGTTTCTCACCTCTTCCCTCATGGAGCCGTCAGTGTCTTCATAAATCTCATGGAGACCTTGGCTGCGTTCGGTGGACCCGTCGCAGAGGTTGGCTATCCGGTGTTGTTGTGCCACGCGCTCCTGGTCGCGCAGATAGAAGCACAGGGAGGGGAGAGAACTTGAGTCCAGAATGCCGCCAAGTGTCGAGACGATACGTGGCTCATGGCATCAAGCAGGCGAGGCGTGCTGTCAGCACGTCTGCGAGCAGTCTAGGACAAGCAACTTTCTGAGGATATCATGGCTTTGCAGGGACGAGTTGGCAAGGTACGGAAGGACAAACTCTCTGGTGAAATCAAAAATCGTTCACGATTACGAACCCAGTACATTGGTCATACCCAAAAAACACCGGCTCTCTTATTGCCGTGCACTACACTGTTGTCGACGCCACAGCTGACTCGCACCGCCAGTCTCCTAAATCACCACCAATGAAAGGGTGAGGGTAGTGGAGGGGGTCTGCAGCAGCATCTTTGCTGCATCACACAGAGGTGGGAGGGGTGGGAACAACCAGCTGGGAACAATGACGTGGATAGCGGGATAGCGGCGGTCTGCGATTCAACACGCACCAAGGAACCTATATCTCTCTGGCTCCACGACAGTATGAAGCAGCAACAAACCCTCTGTTGCAACCAACAGCGTGCGATCCGACAGAGTCGCCATCAGTGCCCTGACATCGGCCCCCACGAAAGGGGGTTGCGCGCTTCACTGCAGCGGACGCAGTCTCGAACCTCCACTTGTAGATCCTTCGTGGACCAACAACCCTGCTTACCTATAAGGAAAACTTGAGGCAGACTTAGAGAATCACCCTCCCTCCCCCCCAACACAGCTGCTATCAATCTTACGGAAGGCCAACTGCCGCCCTTACCGCACACGCGGGTGCGCGCTGCTGCTGATCCCCCCACCTTTTGGGTGCGCGGCTTGGTCTCCAATTGGTCGATGATCCCACGCTCGTAGATCTCGAGGTCTTCGTGGAAACCTCGCGCTCTCTCCAGCAACGAAGACGACATGGTTTCGATCAACCAAGCTCCGGACACCCCCAGCTGTCCAGTTGCTTGTACACGCACCACCTTCCTCTCCGAGCAGCAGCACACAGGTCTGGGGTGCCAGGAGCAGCACGTGATCCACACCCTCGGTTGTATTGTATTGTATTTCGATTCACGGAGCCCCATGCATCCCCGTATGAAAAACGCCGCTGTACATGTCAGTGCATTTGAAACTGGGACGGAGAGCTCAACTCGCGTCAAACTACTGCTGTGGACCCTTCTCTCAGGCAACCGAAAGCTTACAACAGGTGAGAGCCGTGGCGAGGTAGTGGCTAGATATGCGACGAACACATGCCTGAACTGTCTATCCCTCTCCGTCCTGTCAGCGTCTGTGCGTGTGTGACGAGAATTTGGGCATGGCGGCGTGCGCTTCTCTACTCTGCGACTGGAAGAACCTGGTATTCACAGAGCTCGATACACACTGACTGCTGTAGTATCTCGGGCTGGGCCCCGTTACTCTGTCTGCTTTTCGAACGACGTGGTACGATCTTGTCTAGGATGTATGGTTTCTATCCCGTTGGATCGAGATCTCAACTTCATGGCCGACTCGTGAACCTCGAATACACACAAGAGAAGCCAAACATCGAGTCAACGACGACCCACATTTTCATATTTATTTCCCGTTCTCCGGATCAGCTCTCGACTCTCGACACATCCCGACCTGCGCTTGGTTCGGGAATACGTATAACTTACCAGAGCAAGGGCGCCAGTAGTTCTCCCTTCTGGACATTGTTAGCGAATGGTAAACTTCCTTTCGTGGAAAAGGTGCTGAGCTTTCCCCGAGATGTTTCCGGAGAACTCGTCGAATTGGTGCCCATTTTGAAGTTGCGGTTGACCTTTTTTTTATCTTCTGAAAAAGAAGATCCGATCGCGCCCCTCACGCCCCGGTAAAATGCTGTGCGTGCCTTTGTACTTTTGTACTGCTGTACACCGAGACAGACAAGAGGTTTTGGAATGTTATATCTTCTTCCCTCCAGTCTTCGATATTGTTGGTCGCTATCGTGGCGGGAACGCACGCTACGGACTACGGACCCATCTTCGAACCACCCTATTCACTACGCGCCTGTAGGTTGGGTTCGGGGCCATCACGCACGAGCAGGATGGCGACAGCACTCGTTGGGAGCCCGACCAGCGCCGGCAGCAGCCGCGCGGAGCAAGAGCGGCAGTTCTCTCGCGACGGCGGCGGCAGCAGCAGCAGCAGCGGGCTGCAGCAGCAAGCTGACGCCGGGCCTCCTGCCGAGACGCTGCAGGCGACGCGTGAAATGTGCGCCTACTGCTTCGGTAGGTGGTGGGTGTTGGTGTGCTCATGTTCATGTTGTAGCCATCCGTGGCTCCTACACACCAGAGATTGAGTATAGAGCACAGCGCTTTCTCACTACGCTGAGCCGTGACGTATAGGAAGCTGGAGGCCTGAGTGGTTTTTGGAACATGCCGTTGTGCATGTCGCGCCGTGGCCCCCGACGTGGGTAATTGCGGTGTTACTACAGAAAAAGTCTACGGAAGACTAAAAAACCAAACTAGACTACAAGTACATGTATCCCGATGAAGGCATTTTTCTAGTTCAAGTTCAAGTTCCGACCCGGCCACTCTGTCCCTCCTCTCCCGGCTTCTGTCTCGTCAGAAAATATGCATACAATCACCGAAGGACCTTCGCATATGGTTCTATCGCGTCGAATTGAGATGCCACGTACTTTAACGGTGGCCATCGTCGAAGTGGAAGCCCCTGCTTGGCACACTTCGGAGAAGGTCCCACATATTCGTGTCCGAGTTGGCCCGTTTGACAACCGCCCAAGCAAGGACCGGCTCCCCTTCCGTGTGGTACTCACACACTGCTGTTCCGGTAATTTGTCTCCCTCCCGCTCGGTTGTCGTCAGATGTGATCATCGCCCACTTCAACAACATCGAGCCACCTCCTCCATCGTTCTCCACGAGATACGTCTGGTGGGACACGTGTGCAGCCTATTTTGTCTTTTTTTTTTGTGCAATCTTTGACGGGTGTAAAAGCAGACTGGGGTCTTTGTGTGTTTGTTTTTTCGTGCGCTGTTTGACGGCTGCAAAAGCAGGGTAGAGATTCCGAGAGAGACACTGCTGTTTCTGATGTGCAAGATTTTTGTTTGGCAGTAAGGATAGCGCGGCGATTTTTTCTCGCCGACACTGGCTTTCTGACTGAATCCGTCCCCGTCTGTCACGTCAATCTAGCTGAGCGAGACCTCCGAGGCTCTCAATACTTCCACCGGAGAACCGCGCCGTTTTCACGTGTGTTACCCCGCCACAGCCCCGCTTTGCCCGCACTCGCTTCCGCAGCGGCATGTTCGTCACTTGGGACAAGCACGAGCACGGCACGGAGTCCCTGCGGGGCTGCATAGGAACCCTTCATCCTCAAGCCATCTCGCAGCTCAGAGACTACACCTACAGCAGGTTGGCAGGAGCGGAGCCGCTTGCGTAGCTGCTGCTGCAATTTCGTTGTATTTGTCGTATGGGCAAGTTCCTCCTGATGATTTGTGGGCTCTTTTTACAGCTTGGCCTACCGACCGTGCGCTACGCTTGCTTCCCTTGCCATGTGTGCTGGCCTGTGCCACCTTGAGCAGCGCGTTAAATGACAGGAGATTCGCACCGATCGAGATGCCAGAACTCGCCTCCCTCGACGTCTCCGTCTCGCTTCTTGTCAAGTACGAGCCGGCCCAACATTGGGAAGACTGGGAGGTATGTGACGATGTGCCTAAGGTGTGTTGTTTGATTGCGCTCTATGGTATAGTAAACCCCGGTCTGTTGTACAAAAATGTTGCTGACGGTCTGTACCTTTGCGTGCTTATCGAGTTGATCAAAGTGGTGTGGAAAAGCGACCACCTCTTATTGCTCTGGCAGGCGAACGGCTTGGGGTGGACGCCCGGCGCTCGTTTTCTGTCTGAACAGGCGCTGATTCGGATGCCAGTGAACACTATACACCTCCTGCTTCCGTGCCCATCTCCTTTCCGCCGAGCATCTTACCCCCCACCACCGTTGCCTGTCTTGTTGTGTTGTCGGATTGTTTGCAACGAAACAGATCGGCGTGCACGGCATTGTGATCAAGTTTGACGACGATCGGGGGTCGAGTTACAGCGCCACTTTCCTCCCGGAGGTGGCGGCAGAACAAGGTGCGCGAAACGAAACACGAAGCGATCCAAGCCCCCTTCCCCTCCCGTAGGAAGTAGGTTGGGAAGGCGAGGAGTGATATCGATAGGATAGATTGATTGGCTAGGGAAAACATTTTTGGGCCACCTTTTGGCAAAGTAGGAAGGAACGATTGGCCATCGGCAATCGGTCCTGTAGGAACAATGTGAGGACTCGTGGTCACTTGTCTAACCGGCAAGGCACGCGAAACATGAGAGAACTCCACCCCCCCCCCCCCCCTTGAGTAGCGGTGCAACTGCTGTGTTATGGCTCGCGAATGGAACAGGCGCGCTTTGACCCTGCGTTTGCGCGGGTTGCATCTTGAGGGCTTGATAGTTGGGTCGATGTATGTGAGAGGTGTGCAGACTGGCGCCAGAATAAGTAGGACGAACACACAACACATACATGATTTGCATTGCGCTTCCCGGTACATTAACTCTTTCGCTGCGCGGAAATAGTTTTACGACACCCCTCGTTCGGCTGTCTTGTCAGGTTGGAGCAGGAAGGTGACCCTCTCACGGCTAGTGCGTAAGGCCGGGTACAAGCGGGTAGTGGACAGGGCTTTCCTTGCGGGCGTAGAGGTAAGACTGGCGAGCGTCAGACCAGCTATTGTAGGCGCTTTGCGTCCAACAGCCCGACGGTTAACGGGGTGAATGCCGCCTCCCATGTCCTCCCTGTGGGGCGTGTTTAGCTTTGGTTCATCTCGCAGCGAGGCGAGGTGAAGCGTAGTCGAGAGGCGTTCTGCACATAAACGATCAACATTTCGCGGTGCTCCTTGTAGACCGACAGCCAGTTTTTCCGTCGCGAGAAGTGGCAGCATTGGTAAACGTTGGCTTCGCCTCTTGTCTTGTGCGATGTATCGTAGCTGTAACGCGCGCACATTCTTCACGTATGAACGTGGTCTGAGTGTCAAATCTTATCGCGAGCGGCCAAGCACTACTTCAGTGCTTGTGCCCCGAGTTCCGCGTGGATCTACAACCCTGCTACGGCAGCGTGCGTCGTGCAAAAGACTAATTTGTATAAGCGATCCACCATCTTCCTGCCATACTCGCACCCGCGTTACCCGTCAGGTCACCCGCTACCAGAGCTCGAAGCACAAGCTGCCGTACCAAGAGTACCTGGAAATGAGAAGGCTCGCCCAGCCTTATTGACGCGTCAGATCGGCGTACAGTCCGCCAATATGCCTGAGAGACTCTTCCGCGCCATGCGCTTGGCTAGCTTCATTCCCCATTAGCATCGTTAACGACCGTGTTTGCGTCTTGTTTCGCGCGTCCACAAAATTTCTGCCGTTGATGCAACGGGCCGGGCGTGCCCCCAAGAAATTGGACTCGTATGTACAGCATTTTTGGAGATCGAAACGGCTTTTTCCCGCGGAACAGCTGCACATCATGGTCGTCGTGTATGACGTACGCGAACGAAGGCCTCCTTTCATTTGGTTGGACGTCTGGACGTATAAGGATTTTAACGTGTGTCGGAAACCGCTGTAAAAAGCCGTCTCGTGTCTTCCGATGTGTGAGCATTGACATCCGGAACCCGCTCACACAGCGACTCGGGGGTTCGGAGCAAGTTTTCAGTGCATCCTTTTAGTTTTTTTGTTTTGAGAGATGGTGGTGCGGTACTTCTCCCTTTTTGTTGGGGTGCTAGACAAGCGTAGCTTGTGCTGCGCGTATTGTGACGCATCTGATGGTGCCTTAGTGTCAACTGGTTTGGGAAAGACACAAGAGCGCAAGGTGCTTGGCAACGGTTGAACTAGGATGGCGTTTGCTCGCGGCGTCGGTAACGAGCATTTATTGTTCCGAATTTTGGCGATTGTTGAATTTTCGGTCCCGTTGTGTTTTGGATTATTTTTTGAATGGGGAGAAGAAGCCGGCAGGATATTTGAGGCTCGGAAGAGGTATTTGATGCGCACGGGGTTCGCCACCCTAGGTATTTTGATGGTCTGTTGTTGGTGTTATTTTCAGTCGTGCCCAAACACGCTTGTTTGTACGTGTACATATGCATCTTACAGTGCTCGTAAACTTTAAGTACAATACATGAATTTTCGGAAACGTGCGTAGTTGGTTTCGAGATCGCAAGCAAGGGATGGAAGTCTCCCTTGTCCGGTATCCGGAAGTTTTAGGTTGTGATTTCGGCATCTTATCGCTTGAGTGTCGTCTGAACGAAAAGCTAGGTTGCACCCCGACCATTCGGTTCGGGGCCAGTGGATCTTGTTGCTGTTGTTTTCCCGTTGAAAGCCGTTCTGGTATCTGTTCTCTCAAGGTTTAGAAATCCATCGGTTTAGTAGCTCCATCGCGTTGTGTTTGTAGGGAATCTACAAGCACCATGTGTCTGCGGTAGTCGGCTCGTGGGAAGACTTGCTCACATAATACAGTAATCAACCATTGAATCCACTTGATTGATTGGTTTGTTGAGCGGATGCCCTGCCTTCCTTGTTCGAGAGGGAGTTACCATCGTACACCTTAAGCTTCTGGGACAGTGTGTGGTTCGCCGAACATCTGCCGTAGATACTCCGCCTCTTCTTAAAAGCTCCACTTTTGCAACAACTGGATAGGCGTCGATTGGCTGCTGTTCACATGACCGTTATGACTTCAACTGACTGACGAACTTGGAAGGGGGCACTTCGTGCACCACGGTAAGCACACAGAATTTTCCACTTCTTCTCGCGTGAGCCTTACCAAGACCCAGGTAATGGCAAATGGGGGAAAATGGATGGAGGAAGTCAGAACCACTCCTGGCAGGGCGTATGCACACTATGCACACAACAACACAACCAACACACCGTTACCACGAAAACTGCTTCAAAGATACACCGCTTTAGGTACGTCGCTTCCTTCGTCCGGATGGAGGATGGACAACAGCCCGGCGATCGGTGTGTCAAGAGCTATCGACCACGATGGTGTTTTCCATTCCCACCTTGCGCCTTGTCCTTGGGAGAACAAAGGGTGAAAAATGAACAGATCCAATCACTACCGACGCGCTCTGAGACTCTCAAACGTAGCGCTAGCCCGTGTGTAGACAAGAAGACATCGGGAACGACGACAAAGATAAATGCACCCTACGACCATGATTCCGTTTCTTCCACCCCGAAAAGGCAACTAACAAAACTAACAAAAAAAAAAAAACGCGACACGTCGCGCTCGCCTATCAAAGCACTATAATGCATACCATCTGCAGTCTACATTGTGCAGCATCAGAAAGAAATGCCATCGAACCCTTTGCTTCTTGTGCTGCCCCCCCATCTGTAGTCTACATTGTGCAGCATCAGAAAGATATGTCATCGAACCCTTTGCTTCTTGTCTTGCCCCCCCCCGCTCCCACTACCCCCGCCTCCCTGCTGCGCTAGGTCTTCGAGGTTCCGCTTTATAAGCGACAGCTCGCTTCGGAAGGCTTCCTGCAGCTCTAAGGCGAACTGGTAGACTGGATCGCTAGGCCGGTTGAACGCCAGGGCGTTGGTGACGATGAGTTCTAGGTCCGCTTCGACCTCGGCTACCTGCGGGAAAATGAAGGAACAAAAGGACGTGGTTAGCCGATGCGAAAGAAATCGGATCGCGACACTTGTGTTGGTCAGTGCAAACGATGCATTTCCACGCGACCGCGTGTTGATAGCGACACGCCTTGTTTCATGAAAGTCAAAGGTAATATTGTAATTCTTTTGTTGTATTGCGAGCTTCCAGCGCTCGAGCCCAAATATGCAGTGCGACCCGCAAAGAGACCTTCGGACGAGAGGGCCAGCAGTGCACCGGATACTTCGTGGAATCAGACAGCGAGATTGACAACGCTGGGACTCGTTTTTTTTTTTCACTGCCACAGATGACCAGTCGCAAGTTTCGATTAAACGGTTCAACGTGCTCCGCTGCGTCAGTGGCTTAAACTCAAACACAGCTGGGGTCGCGCTGCTTTGATCCTGTAGCGACTCAGCATGTCTAGTCTTCTCTCACGCGACGTCCAGGGTCTTATCCCGCGTCAAAGTTGGCTCAACCATGTTCGAATATTTGCTTTACAGGACCACAGTACCTTGCCATCCGTAGCTAAAACAGACGCGGACAACGAACGTATACTGCGAAGACGCCACGCTTGAATGAGTGGGTGTTATTCTGGTGCATCTTCATGCGTAGCAGGTCGAAATCTGAATTCCGCATCGCAGCACACATCTGAAACCATCTGTAGCACACGTCCTCTTACAACTCTTGTCGCCACGAGAAGAAATGATATAGAAAAAGGGCATGTAGTTAAAGCTACGCAGTGCCGTGCTCCTTACGCCGGTATCACCGCAAGACATTACACGAAACAGGGCATCGCCTCTCCCTCCTCGGTCGTGCATTCACGGCGGAAAACAACAGATCGAGGTGGCCTCGCGACTCACCGTGGTGTACTTGTTCTTGTTCAAGTTGTCTCGGATGAAAGTGAGATTCATGGGCCGCTTGATGAATTCGAAGTACCGCGGCGGGGCGTTGCTCTTCTTGAAAACCGTCGTGAAGGGATTGCCCCACCCTGACGGCCACTTCATCGCCACTAGCCTGGAGATGAGCGGCTTCACGAGAGACTTGGCGTCTTGGGACAGCGGCGCTGCTGCGGAAGCCGATGAGGAATACCCTGATGCGGAGGCCATCTCCCCCTCTTCGTTATCACTAGAGGGTCTTTGCCGTTTCATGGCTTGTTTGGCGACTTGCTTTGCCTGCCGAGCAAGAGAGGGCATGGCGGCGGTCAGGTGGTACACGACGCCGTGTCCTCTTGACGTCAGTCATAGGGGAGCGCGCCTGCGCGCCCAAAACCAGCGGCTGGCAAAGGCACAAAGCGGATTCTGAGTCACGGTCGCCGTTGCCTCGGCCATGACGTGTCTGGCATGTATGAGTGATGCGAACCCCATCCGCGTTAAAAAAATCGGCACCACGAGGTCATGCCTCTCGAGGGCTTCGGCAAGCGCGAGCCTTGAGCGACGTCAATCCAAGTGGGAGTTACGTTGTTCGTTTACCTGTTTAAGCGAACACTGCTGCTGCGCATATCAAAAGTTGTCCATATTCTACAGCAGTAGGCGACGTCGGCAGTGACCACCTCCGGTTGCGCCAGGGCAGAAAAGACCGAATCCCTGCGGAGCAACTCTTGGTGAACTTTCTACCGCACGGATGCAGGACCGTAGACTACTGCTCAACACACGTTCTGGATATCTGTGTAAGAGGCCCTGTTGATGGTCGCCGGTGTACCTGCGGCTGGGCACCCAATCTCGGCTGTGTCCTCGAACAATCAAACGGTGCGGCACATCGTCCCAAAACCTAGCATAACCTCTCCACGGCCGACCATCAGCCCCGACTTCTATCCCTGACTCGAACCCCGAAGCAGCTTGTAGCTACCTACAGCTGATAGCTGTGATTACACAGCTGTAGCTGTGATTACACAGCTGTAGATTGATGCTACAGCAGCGCAATACACCGACCGTGTACCACATCGTCTCCAGGTTCTTCCCGAATAAGGTGTGCTTTTGAATGACGTAAGCATGAATACCCAAAACAATGGAGCTCGTACGTGGACATCTCCGATGCCTACCTTCTTTGCAAACGCAGGGGAAAGCTTGTTCGTGGTTTGAAGCGCCGCCGGCATGTCCGGCGGCACCGGCGGCCCTCCCCCCTCCTCGTCCGCCAGACCGCCCGCCGCGGAGCCTGGAGCAACCCTCTTTCGAATCATGAATGATCGTCGCATCAGGTCCATCGACAGCTCCTCGATGCACCTCCCGGATCGTTCCTCGCTCAGGAGCTCCGCAAAGTCCGCCTTCTCCGCCAGAGCGATGCGCGGCTTCTCCTTGATGAGAACCTGCAACTGAGGGGACAGGAAGTGCGAGATGCCCTTCCGTAGTGTGCGCCGGCTCTCTGCGTCGTAGCGGTGTAGCTGGTGGCGATCCATGATGTCCACACCACCGCGCGAACTTAATTGGTCTTGCATGGCTATCCCTGGGGTAAGCAAATAAAGGACACCAGCGCTGGTTCCTTGCTGTGATTCAGCCACGGTCGCGCGTGCGAGGCGCCTTGCTTTGAAAAGGCGGAGGGCTGCGTGTGTGAAGTGCGGCGTGTTCTCGCAATGCTGCGGAATCTGAATCCACGGAGCCCCCTTGGGGGGGCGGAGGGGGGTCCTTGTTTGGAGTTTTGAAATCAGTTGGTTGCACTTCACCTCGTTCCCGCACACCCAAAGAGCGACAGGAAACAAGGAAGCCCTTGTGAAACTTACCCCCCTCTCTCTCTCGACCATGGCTAACTTAATCAGCCGCGGCGCGATCAATCAGATCATGGGCGGGGCCACCGGCGCGGCGGGCTACAACCCGACGGTTCAGGTATGGGTGCCCACAAACACACACCTTTTTGAAAAACTCCCTCTTTTTTATGATGGGTGTGCGGAGGCAGAGGGACGGTTAGATCTGCCAACGCTCCAGCGCCTCTGTCCCCTCGTTGACCGACTTTGTTTGCATCGGGTGTGCCATGCGTGGTTGTAAGAGGTTTGTCGTCTCGGTTGACACTGCGTGGTAGGTGCGCTGTGCAGGTTTGGCAATCGCGGGAAAGCGGGACGAATTTGAAAAATTGTCCTTGGCGGGGGTGCCCCTTTCCTCCACACCCTCATCCGGTTAGCAAGGAGCCTAGCATCAACACCCGTTAGGGTTGCTCGTTCTGTTGGCGTGTCCATGCTCGTGGGCTTCATTGCCCCGAGGATTGAAGCCGTAAACATCACGTCCAGCACCATGAAAAGTTGTTGCGTTGTTTCAGCGAAAGGAGAGCGCGTTTCAGCACTCAGAAACTGCTGCACGTAGTTTTGATGTTCGCCGGCCGTTCGGTGAAAGGGGTGCATCGTGCATCGGATAATACCGACTCTGTACGTACTAAGCGATACGTTTGTACGACGCTTCATCTAGGGGGGGCTGATGCACGCGTCTTTCGCTTCTTTTTCAAAGCATGCACCGCTGTACCGCTGTAGCAGAAGAAGCTCTGCCAACAGCACACGTGATTGTATTTACAGCAGTTTTGAAATGCAAAAAATCGAAATTTGAATTTCTGAAGAACGGAGGCATGTTTCGCAGTATCCAGAGACGGCCCCGGCTAGCTTAAGGGCGCGGGGGGGATCACAGTACCTCCTCTGAAAAATCCAGGAAACGCCTGCATATCTCGGTTTTCCAAAGTCTAGCTCCAGCACGAAACTACCATCGTAAATTAACCGCCCGCAGCGGTCGCTTGTGTACAATGTTAGTGGCTGAGGTTGTACCACTTGCGATACACTATAAAGACTAGCGGTCCGCGATTTTCCAAACGATCCTTCTATCATCGAGTTCGGTGAGCTACAAGCTAGATTTTTGAAGCTGCTGTGCGGTCCAATTTTGAAACGCTTCAAGCACCTTTGCCTAAAGGCTGGACATGCATATACATGACCCTAGGCATTCAAATCGACAATGGCGACCAGCTGGATATGTGAGGGAAGAGCTGCGCTGAAGTTCGCGGCCCCATACACTCACATAGGCGGTGATTCGTGTTCACCGTGTGCTTGAAGCGTTTCAAAATTGGACCGCACAGCAGCTTCAAAAATCTAGATTGTAGCTCACCGAACTCGATGATAGAAGGATCGTTTAGTCTGTAGTGTATCGCAAGGGGTACAACCTCAGCTACTAACATTGTACACAAGCGACCGCTGCGGGCGGTTAATTTACGACGGTAGTTTCGTACTGGAGTTAGACTTTGGAAAACCGAGATATGCAGGCGTTTCCAGGCGTTTCCTGTTTCTTTGAAGAGGAAGTACTGCGATCCCCCCCGCGCCCTTAACCTTTTTTTTCACACTCGAAACATGACCGTTTTGAGAGCTGGAGGACAGTCTTCTCCCCCCAGTCTGCCACACCCTCTTCAGAAGAAGGTGCAGTGACCCGTGTTGATGTCGAAACGAAAGCGCTTGTTGCAAGAGACAATCATCGAGCACGATGAGGAAGTGCGCTAAACCTCCGAACCCCCCCTCAAGGCCATGTCAACGTGTCAACGCCCTCAGGCTCTCCTTTGGTCGTCCTTTCTCACGCTGTAGGCATCGCCGAGGCTCTTTTTCACGCGCCCACATGAGATGGCCCCAAATAGCTGCTCCGTTATTAGCCGCACCCACCAGCTCATGAAACAACACAAAACCTACCGCAAAACAAGCGTCAGCGGGCGTCAGCCTATGTACTGCTGTACATTTCGTTACACTTTGACCGTAAGGAAAGCAACAGCCGATTTTCTTGTCACCCACAGCAAAGACACATACCCTTCGACTGCTGTGGTATTTTCTCGAACGGAAGGTGGTCTCTGATTGGATGCATGCTTTCTGTAAAGCAGACAAACATATGCATGAATTCAAACGATACATCAGGTGGTGAGCCTGAAGAAGATGACAAATGCGGGCACCGACCGATGGCGGTTGGTGCTGTCCGACGGGCAGCACTTCGCACAGTCCATGCTGGCCACCCAGCAGAACGAGATGATCTCCAGCGGTGATCTGAAGGAGCTGTGCATCATCACCCTCAGCGACTACATCGTCAATGTCGTACAGAACAAGAGGTGGGGGGAGTGTGCATATTCTTGAACGTGGATTTACAAGACTTCCTGTGTATCATTGCTGAGTTTTAGTCTTCAAACCAGGTTTCCGCTCTCTGTGTGTACATGTTTTGCCGGGTGGTCTGTTGCCTCTGAACTGTCCAAATACAGCACCGTTGCGATGAGCCGGTTCATTGAGGAAAGTTGGAAGATCGGCTTCCAGGGTTGATTCAATTTTTATTTCGCTTCGCGTTCCGGCTACACGCTATGCAACCAGACATCGAAAGGTCCGGTTTCAGGTGTTCCTACATACCCCCAGCAAAGCTCCCTGCTGTCCTGGCGCAGCAGTACCGCACCACCTATCACATTACTTAGATACGCCGTTCAATTGCCAACTGTTCACCATACTATATCAGTACTACGTGCAGATATCATCACCCCATGACACCCATCCCGTGCCTTTTTCGGAACACGCACAGGCTTATCATCCTGTTGAAGCTCGACGTTACTTCTGGTCCTACGCCCAAGATTGGCGACCCGATCAATTTCTCGGAGGATTCTTCGGCGGGGGTGAGAGAAACATGCAGACGTAGACAATAGACAGAGTCGGCCTTACAAAAGAGAGAGACGGCATGGGAGAGAGTGAGTGAGAGAGAGACAGAGGAGCTGAGAGAGACAGAGAGAGAGAGAGACGGACTGAGAGAGAGGAAGAGAGAAGAGACAGAGACAGAGACGGACTGAAAGTGTGAGAGAGAGAGAGAGAGAGAGAGAGAGAGAGAGAGACAGAGAGAGACGGACAGGCAGACAGATAGACAGAGGCACGCCAAGAGGAGAAAGAGCCGCAGGCCAAAGGGAACCCTTTCCTTTCATCACGGGCCAATTAATTGCCTGTTGGGGCTCATCTTGCCGCCACATCTTGCCATGCCATGCCTCCGCGAAACCAGGTGAAGCAAGAGCTGGGAGGCGGCAGCAGCAACAACAACACCGGCAATTACGGTGGGGGTTCGAAGCCGAACACCGGGGGATACGGAGCAGGACGGGACGTCAAGCCGAAGGTGGCAAACAACCCCTACGGCGCCGCCAACAAACAGGCGAACAACCCTTACGCAGGTGCGGTTGGTTGATCTTGCGGTGCTGTCGTTATTGTCGATGTTGCTGCTGCTGCTGCTGTAGCATTGACCAGTCTGTGCTGGTGTTGGTCGTTGATATACAGTGTAGTGGCGGACTTCCATTGAAGGAAGACGAAAGCGAGGGTCGGGCCGGCGTTGTGACCCCGCAACCCCCCCGAAAGTGGTGTGTAACCCGGACAGAAAGCGATCGAAAACGCGAGACAAGACGCGGACGTGATCCACCACATCGCTCCTCACCGTCTAAAAATGCTTGTGTAAATACGCACATACATTTTGGGGGCGTCAGGCGGCGGTAACAACAACAGCTACGGCGGGGGAGGGGGAAACTACGGCGGCGGGGGCGGGGCGCGGGACGGCGCAGCCAACAACCCTTACGCTAACCGCGGAAGCTCGAACAGCGGGCCGGTGCAGAGGCAAAGCCAGGACAGCGCGTACATGCCGATATCGGCGATCAACCCCTACCAGAACCGCTGGACGATCAAGGCCAGGTGAGAAGTGAAGCGGAGTAGATCGAGAGGGGGGGGGGGGTGTACTCATAGTCGTGCATGCCGTAGTCGTTTGACCATTGACCTCGCATCCCTACAAAGCCGGGACGGAGCACGCCGGGTTCTCACCGGACCAGGCTCTCACATCACCAAGCGCGAAGCGCCGTGAGGTATTTGGCGAGTCGCATGAAGGGTGAGCTGCATCCTGCTAAGGGTGTTCGGCATCTTGTGCTTACTTCCTTGCGTACGGATGACAGCTACGTATGACTTAATTTATTTTCTGGTGCTTTCACTTCCAGAGACAGTTGTAAGCACTGTGTAACTGCCTCGAGGAAGCTTGACCATTTTAACACAACGTGGTGCGATCATCCCCCGTTGCGCGGAGCGAGGTTTCTCGACCCCGCACAACATGATCTACTCGACCACCATTATGGTTACCGCCAAAAAAAAAAGAGGTAAAAAAAAAAAGACGGTAACCTGGTTGCCAAGTTCACGAAGTGAATTGGCTTGTTTTACAACGTCGTTGCCAATCGACGAAAACCCAATCCCGATGGCAAACACCGAGTGGGGGGCTTGTTTTACAACGTCGTTGCCAATCGACGAAAACCCAAACCCCGATGGCAAACACCGGGGGGGGCGGCTTGTTTTACAACGTCGTTGCCAAGCGACGAAAACCCAACCCCGATGGCAAACACCGAGGGGGGGGGGGAGATCGAGAGGGGGGGGGGGGGGCAAAAAAAAGGGATGGGAAAAGGAAAAAACCAAAGGGGGAAAAAAAGGGGGAAAACCACAATTTGGATGGGAAAGGGAAGGAAAAAGGGGAAAATTTTTTTAAAACAAAACACAACAGGGGGAATTAAACCATCCAAAAAAAGAAAGGCATCCAAAAGGAGGGTTTGGGTTGGGACAAGGACCTTTTTTTTTTTTTTTGGGGCCAAAACCCTTTTTTTTGGAACAAGGCAACCGCCTACAGGAAAAGGCCAATGCCCAAATTTTGGGGGTTGGCCCCCAAAAGGCGGGGGAAAAGGGAAAGGGAGTTTTTTTTTCTTTTTTTTGAAGGGTT